GATCTCAGCTATGTTGTGTGCTGCCCTGTATCCCAACGTTGTCCAGGTAAGAGAATGCTTTTTCATTTTTCCTTCTGCTCTCATACATGACCTGCTTTCAATCTAGACTCATTGTGGTAGTTTTGAGCCTGGCTTAGATTGCCAAAGCTTGCTGCTTGCAGTGTTAGAGACAGGCAGCAGAGCCCCAGTTTGTATTGTTTGAGACCTTGCTGTTCCTACAGGCTGATTGTAGTGTCTCACAGAAGCCAGCAGCAGATGTTAAGAAGGTATGTTAAATTAGAGCTTTTTAGAAGGCTGAGATCACAAACAAACAGTCAGGGTTAGACAGCACCTGGAGCATAGTATGACTTGGTATGTTACTACTACAGAATTTCTGTTTTTGAAAAATTTAAAACATAAGGTTAAAAGGCTTTCTGGTGCAGCAGATTTTTATAACGTTTTTTCTTACCATACAGGTGAAAAAGCCAGAGGGTAAATACCAGAAGACCAGTACAGGAGCAGTCAAAATGCAACCAAAAGCAGAAGAGCTGAAGTTTGTTACCAAAAACGATGGTTATGTTCACATTCATCCTTCATCTGTGAATTATCAGGTCAGGATTCTTTTTTTCTGCAAAGCATACTCTTTTTCTTTAATAAAAGAAATCATCTTTGCTTGAGTATTTAAGATTGCAGTGAGGATCCCTATTGATGTTTAAAATAAAAGATCTTAATAACTGAACAGTCCTGTGTTAGGATTGCAAATAATGGTGTGTTCCTGAGTTAAGAATGTCTTCTTGGGCACACAATTAAATTCCAGCCTCTGGAGTGGAACTAGGGATGCAGCAGATCCCTGTTCAGCTTTTCTAAAGGTGCATCTGCAGAGCTGAATGCAAAAAAGTTTCAGCTGCAATGCTGCCCTGGCTTCTCCTCAGTAGTGATTATCTACTGTTAAATAATTCAGGGACATACTCTGGTTTCTGAGTCCTCAAGTTCTGAAGTTAATTTAATTTCCAGCTTAATAGCTAATTCTTAGATAAAAGCTCTCTCTCTGCCGTGACATGGTAATATTTGTCTCATGAAGTCTGTCTCCATGTTTGATGATTCACTGCTTTTCCAGGATATAAGTTACTTGTCTTAAAAAAAGTGAGTTTTCAGTCATTATTGGGTTATAAAGTCTTTGAACTGTTTTTCACTTTTGCTGTGAAAGAGCGTAACAGATGCACACACGAGAATGTCCTTAGCATGGGAGAACTTGGGGCCTTGAGGCAACACTAGTGAATTAGCGGATTTCTCATGTGCTCGCTGCAAGGAGCATGGGGTAACTGGTGAAGTTATCGGCAGCTCTTATGGGTCAGAGAGAGTCTGTTAGTCATGCAGGTGCGTTTTAGGCACATTTGTTGCTCTTTGCAGCTGTAGGAGAGGCAGGACCCAAGCAGGCAGGAAGAGATGCATCCCTTTAATGAGGCTGTGGTGTGTGTGTTCCAGACCAGGCACTTTGAGAGCCCCTACCTGGTGTACCACGAGAAGATCAAGACGAGCCGCGTGTTCATCCGGGACTGCAGCATGGTGTCCGTGTACCCGCTGGTGCTGCTCGGGGGCGGGCAGGTGCACATGCAGCTGCAGAAGGGGGAGTTTGTCATTTCCCTCGATGACGGGTGGATACGGTTTGTGGCTGCCTCTCACCAGGTAAGGAAAAGAAAGGATAATCCTGGGAGCGCTGCAGAGCTGTGCTGGTGTTTGGAATGTCCCGAGCCTTACACTTCCCTCTGTGTTTTACTGTATCAGGTGGCTGAGCTGGTGAAAGAGCTGCGCTGTGAACTAGACCAGCTGCTGCAGGATAAAATCAAGAATCCCAGCATGGATTTGTGCATGTGCCCCCGTGGATCTCGGATCATCGGGATGATTGTAAAGCTTGTGACCACACAGTGACATCAATCAGAACAGCTTTCTCTAAAGACTGTTATAGGCCAAGTAACATCCATGTCTTGATATAGTTATTGGTCCAAAACATGGCATTAATCTCTGGAAAAACAGGATGGCAACTGTACTGTTGACAGTTTTTTCAGTTCTTTTTTTTTCCCCCTTTGTTTGCTTGCTTGTTGGAAGTAAGGTGGCTTAAAGTACACTCTGGGAAATGGGAAAACAGCATATCTCCCAGGAGGAGTAGAAACCTCCAAGTAAGAAAATGTTTTCTCCTGGGACTATACCCTGGCAGTAGTGTTTTCTGGTCACAAAAATACCTGCTATCCAGCTGGTTTTTTTAATGTCTGGAGGCAGTGTGTGACATAATAAGCTACTCCCAAATTGGTTTAAACTCACTCCTACATTTTGACCATGACTTTACTGAGGCAGTCAGTTTGGGCTGACCAGGGTTCATTTGCTCATGGTTCAACCCAAAGCCATCATACAAATGAGCACCTTTTGATTCGTGTCAAGAGGTTCTGAAGTTCAGACGGTGTCCTCTGCAGTGGATCAGTTGGAGTGCAGTGTTGGATCAGTGCAGGCTGTTCTGGTGACAAGGTAAAACTGCAGGAGAGTGTGGACATTTTCCCTGAAAGGCTGTTCCAGCCCCTGCTGCACTGGGAAGAAATAAAACAGCTGAGAAGGGACTGCTGTAGTGCATTAAAAATGAATTCTTGGATGGATGACACTGCTAATTTCTTTATCTGCTCTGGTATGTGGTGGTCCTTCTGCCACCCTACACAGATGGAAAAAAGTCCCACTTTTGGAAACTTTTATCCAAACTCACACTCTGGGGAATGGACTGCTAGTGTGGCAAAATCCTGCAGTAATAATGCACTATTATTTCTTCCCCTTAGCATTGCTGCAGCCAAGCTGCTCAGTGTATAGCAACTGCAAATAATAGCAAGTGCCTTAAGTGCCAGGACTTGGCTGTCATCTCTAATGGTAAAACCAGAGTGAGCAGTCTCTACCACCAGCCCTACCCAGCAGTAACCCTCAGGCTGAGGAATGAGCTGAGGGAGGCACATTGCTTGGGGAATAGGTGGATGTTTTGAAAAAACAGACTTGAATGTTTGTAGAAGCACACCAACACACCCTCACATGAGGAAGATGACAGGAGTGCCAAGACCAACATCCCTGTGCAGCAGAAGGGCCTCTGCAGCTGAACTGCTGCTGCATTTTAGCCTCAGCCAGCTAAGCACCAGAGGGCCACTCCCTCCTCTACATCGCATCTCCATGACCTGGCAGTGGGAAAGGGGAGTGATGTGAGAAGATTCATGGGCTGAGAGACAGTTTAATAGGTAAAGCAAAGGCTGCACACACAAGCAAAACAAGGAATTCATTCACTGCCTCCTATGGGCAGGCAGGTGTTCCACCAGCTCCTGGAGCACAGTGTGATCTTGCCCAACAGTGACTTGGGAAGACAAGCACTGTCACTCTGGCCATCTCCTTCCCCCAAATGTATATGGTGAACATTCCATATGGTCTGGAACATCCCCTTGGGCAGCTGGGGTCAGCTGTCCCAGCTGTGTCCCCTCCCATTAGAGGAGGGGATTATTAGAGGAGTTTTAGTCTACAGGCTTGGTGTGGAGTCAGCTTTGCCACTACCTCCTTTTAAAGCACCGTTGCATGGGGCAATTTCACCATTGATGCTGCACACTGCAATAAATGCTGTCCCCCAGCTGTGTTTAACGGGCTTTGAGGACATCCTCGTTTAATGCTGTTACTTCCAGCTCCCTCTGCTGCAGCTATAATGGAGTATGGTTCAGCAAAGCAGTAACCGCAGCATCATCAGGCAGGGAAGTCACCCTCCCCTAAGCCCCAGTGCACTGAAATGTACAAACATAGGGGAGAGGAGGAGGTAAGACAGAGAGGAAGAGTACTTATCAAGTCATATGTATAGGGGCTCATTATCATTCTTTTAATTCCTGGACATCTTATAAAGCAACAATGATTAAAGTTCATCCTAAGCCCTGGGGGGGAGTCCATGCACAGCTGCAGTGCTCCGCTGCACAGCAGGGTATCCACCCACCGCTGCCCAAACAGAAGCCCCAGAAGACTTGACTGTTCCTCCCACGCTGGTAAGACACAGCAATAAGGCAGAACACAGTAAAAGAAAGACTTTTAAGTCAAAATTATCTGGCACTCTATCCTCGCTACTCTGTTAATAGCCATTATCAGCTGCAAAGATAAATCAAATTGGAAAATATCTTGCACTTGTTTACCAGACTTCTATTAAATCTCTCAGTAACCTATCCCTGGCCAGATGGGGACCATCCATATACAGGCAGCTACAGTCTGGCTTCCCAAAGCAATCCCTGATCAGGACAGCATCAAGGCCCTTGGATACACTTCACTGCCAAACATGTAACCAGGCAGATCAGGTCAGACAGGTGTAACGCAAGTTACAAATATACTGCTACTGAAACATGACCTGCGGATTCTGCTTATGACATGTCAACTATAAGAAAAACCTTAAATTTCCTAAAAATACTATCTAAAGGTATTATATCTTCTGCATCAGAACTGCCACTTTGTGTTAAGTATCACAAAGAAGCAGTGCTATTTGGATGACCAGGACAGAAAAAAAGATTTCTAAAAATATTTACTTCGACAGTTTACATTCCAGAACTACTTCAAATACCTTCGGGTAAGAAGGTGACCGGTCCTTTAATCATCAGGACAGACCAACCAGCATTCACACATTCCTTGTTTTTTCCAATCCATTAATGTCCTTCGTAGACATTTTGGTAAGTCAAATTACTGAGCACATGAACACCCCCAGAGAAGGTTTTCCGCTTCACCGAGCTCTGACGAGGTGCAAGGAATACCACAAGGATCCAGACCAACCAGCAGGAATGACAGCTGGTACTGGTAACTTTCCACTCTAACTGGTGCCAGGCAGGGATGAAGGCACACACCTGCAGCACAGCCACTGCACTACAGCCCACTCACACAAGGGACTGCCACTTCCTGCCTTCTACCTTTCACCACACGGGCACACAACCTGCTTCCCCATGCCACATATTAACAGGAACAGTTTGTAGGTTACCACAGTCTATTTCTTAGTTAGAAATGCACAGTTTATTTTAATGCAACAATTAACAAAAAAAGAGCCCAACATTTCCAGATCACAGAACATGAACATAACAAGAGTTTTGTATTAGTCTGCTAGTAAGACTTTTAAAAGATATAGTATTCATGCCAATTGCTAGTCAACAGAAACAGCCTTCTAGGACTAAGCCCTTACATCACAAAATCCCTTACAATGTAAACAAAATAAATTTTTTCTTAAACTTCTGAAATTTGAATTTGTTCTTTCAGGACTTTCATTCCTTCAAGGGCTTCCTGATGGTGAGTGACTGAAAGAGAAAGAAAAGATTAAAAACCACTACTATAGCAAAACCAACAGAAACCTTCCATGCTACCTCAGGCTTCTGCTGCTCTGTCCCAGCCCCATTTTCATATACAGTTCACAAATAATGAGGGAAGTGTTATATTTTACATTTTTGTATAAAAAAACTGCTTTAAGCTTAAAAGATCAGCTGCAGGTGAGACATGAAGACTGCTCAGAAATCTCAACTGCAGCACATACTTCCCTGGTTACATAGAAAAACTTCTTGCTTCATAGTGGATAGCACAACTTGGCAGCTGTGCAGCTGAGCCAGCAGGAGTCACCAGCAGGAATTTAATCCTACAGCATATTTCATGGTTTGCTCCACACCTTGCATTACTCACTTCTTCTCCAGATTCTAAGTTCCTCAAGAACTTAGGGATACTTGATTCTCATTTGCCCACACTTTGTTGTCCTTTAACATTTCACTGAAGTAGATTCCCTTAGAACTATTATCATGACATCTTGACTACTGGCAGCAGGAAGTGCCCGTAACAATTCATCTTTTCATAGTTCACACATTTAGACTAGTAAAAAAACTAAGCTTTTATCCTTGCCCAAGTTAAATTCCACAGGAACCACTCCAACTTTAGTGCTATTTAACCATATGGCACAGTCTAGTTTTAAAGATATTCCTACCTTCTCTTTGGAGATGGAGATCTGGACTTTGAGCGACTGTTAAAAAAACAAACAAACCAAACAATCAACATTGTACACTTGGATAGTCTCAGTAATCCCTTCTGACCATTTAAACCCAGAACAGTTTGGTGTTGTTTAAATGCATTAAAAGACATCATGGTTAAGACTGCCAGTAGCAAGTGTACCTGATTACTTTAAGCAAGAAGCTGCAGGTGAGAAAGAAAAATGCTGAAAGCTGGAGCCCTTAGAAAAGAGCAAAACTTCGAACCAACTACAAAGTCATGACGGTAACCCTGCAAAGCAGGAGCACTGAACTGAGGAGTTAGGAAGAGGGAGAACTATAGTCAGTTGAGAACAAAGGGAGGAACACAGATGCCTCAAATCCTGTCACAAATACCTTTTTTGTCACAATGTTGAGTGAAACAAAAACCTCTATGCACAATTCTTCTGAACTGCCTATTGTCCCACAAAAATCAGTTATTAAAAAAATACATTAAAGTAATGTATGAAAAATGTTTTTGAAATCGGCTATTAGAAGAACAACAACAAAAAAACCACAACACAACAAAAAACCCTCTTCCACATGCAACTGAAATATTGCTCCAAACAGATTTTGAATACTGAGGAAAAAAACCCCATAAAACAAAACAAAAAACAACCACAAAAAACCACCAACCAAAACAAAAACCAACTGAGTGCTACTTGTATTTAAACGCTCACCTTTTAGCAGGTAAGCCAGATTTAGATCTACCATGAGACTCAGACCTACAACAGGAGAAAAATAAAGCTCAGCAAAGCAGCCAGTAGCATGCATATACAATGAAAGTTAGCTACAGCAACAGCGAATTCTTATTACATAGCATCAAAAACCAGAGAGAAAGAAGGCTCTGGTGCTCCAGGCTTCCCTTGTGACTTTTCAGGAGAATCCTTTAGCTCTTATTGCAGAGACCCCATTTATCAGAAGACAGGAGTGCAAGCACATGAAGCTCCTCAGCAAAGCTTCAGCTACCACTTTCACAAAACAGAAGACCAGACTGACAAGACTTTCTTCCTACCTGCAAGTATCCCTTCTATAAAGGGAGTAATAATTTCAAGTTTCATCTTAGAAAATATAACAGCACATTAAGAGTGTGGAATCAGCCACAAGTAAAAATGTGCTGAAGAACTGATGCATGCTTCAGGTCAAGTTCCAATGCCTATTTTATTCCAATTATTATAATACAGATTTTTCATCAGTTTTGCCAATGAAAACAACATTTCGGTTTTCTCTTCAGTACCTGGCTACTGATGTGTAAACTATTCCCAGTTCATCTTGTGAATTAAAATCTACTCAAACAGTGACACTTTCCTCCCACGTTTATCATGTTACGTATCAACTCAAATATTTGCTATTACTTAGAAAATATTTGCCTTCCTAGACTGTCAGAATTCAGGCACGTGCTGTTACTCAACATCAAAACACCCAGTTCAATAGACTTGGCCAATTTTTATTCTATTTCTGCTAAGAACTGTTTTTAAAGGGTAAATAAGATTCACCTTTACCTGGTCTATTAACTTACAGAAATACTGTATGGAGATTCTTGGTGTAAGTTAAATGAAACATTACGTGCCATGGCTTTGAAACCTTTGTAGTCACTGTGCCGAGTCACCATCCTTCCCAATTCCTGCCATTATAACCAGTAGCTTTTTCACTGGATCACAGTTTACTCACAATCACCCAGAACTGGTACTTTGTAACACAAGTATGACTTCTGTTGGTAAGCAACAGTAAGGCAGAACGCACCACCATCATCATTTTACTACATACGTAAGCATTAACTAGTGTTCAAAAATTCTCTCCACAGACCTCAAATCACACATATGCTTTCTTATGGCCATGTATACACAGATTATATATAGTAGCCACAAACCAAAACAAACTCATGTTTATTAAAAGAAATCTGATCACTACTTCAGTCTGTGAAAAGGCACAAATTAAGCGTTGCTACGCTACACAGCCTTCTAATTCCTGCCAGCCAAATTCCCCCAGGAAGAAAAACAAGCAACGAAACACAACCACAATCAAACGACCAGAACTATTACGAGTTTGAACTAAAACAAGTATCTCACCTGCTTCGAGGCCACACAACAGACCGGGACCGTGAGCGTGACCTGGACCGAGATCTAGGAAAAAAAGCAGTGGAAGCTCTAATACTGCAGGATTCATACAGCTGGGATAGAGATCAGTTATTGCAAAAGTCACACAATACTTTGCTGACTGTTGGCTTTGCAGAAGTAACTTCTATTACAAAGCTATGGTACAAAGCTATATCACATGCTTAGACTTGTAACATAAAGAAAGCATTCAGACTAGTTCTGACAGATGTTACACCATAAAGGTTCCTAAAAAGACACAGATTGCAAAATATAAACTTAATGTTTATATTAAATATGTCTTATATAAATACTTAATGTTCCAACTTCAACTTATGCTCCCTTTGACAATGTTGTGGGTTTAAAAAAAAACCACATACCTTGACCTTCTTAGAGAGCCAGATCGGGATCTGCGAGGTGAAAATGATCTGTATCTACGAGGAGAGATTGACCTGGACCTGCGGTAGGAAGCTGACCTTGATCTACAAAACAAAGTGAAAAACCAACCAAATCACTGCAAGGTACTTTTCAAAAGAGAAGGGAAAGAAGGGGCAGAGGGAGGAGTAAGAAAAACAACAAAAACACAACAGCTAGACCCCTACCTCCTACCACGGCTCCGACTGCGTGACCGAGAATACCTCCTTCCTCGGGACCTCGAGCGCGATCTAGACCGGGACCTGGGTTTAGGTTAGAGAAAACAGATATCAGCAAACAGCTGCAGCAACCAGTGCATGTGAGGCCCTGCTGAAGTCAAAACTTATTTCAGACAACTAAAAAAAGAGAGCAATAAAAAAAAAAACAAAAACACAAACAAAACAAAACAAAACAACAAAAACACACCACTAGCATCTGTCATTTGGAAAAACTCTCTGGGCCTACTCGTCTTGAGCATTTTTACTACCTAGAAAAATGTTAAAAGCTGAATTACATTTGCAGAATTACATTAGAATAGAAAACACTGTAATGCGTATTTAAAATAAACCTTGCAAGTTTGCAGGTCGACCCTCTTTGGCCCAAGGTCTAGCAGATCTAGACGATCTAGAAGTATCTATAGCCGATCGCTGCATCTAGGTGTTCTCTTCAATCTAACGACGATCAAACTGACAGCCCAATGAGCCAGGGTGAGGCTTGATTGACGCAAGAAGATTTTTCTAGGTGGGAATGTGGTCAATCTGGTGTTCCTCTTTCTAAACCGGAGGGGGGCCCCAATTGAAAGCCAAATTTACTGTTACGGCGGTCACCGTCTCAAATTTTCTGCCCTTAAAGAATAAGGTGAAGCTACGTGTAGATGGCTCGAGGGGATCTGGCCTCTTATGCTGATCACCTCAAGGTCTAGGAGGATCTTAAGTGTCGGATTTGCAAGGCGCCTCAGCATGAAATCTTAAGGCTCGTGACATTCTGAATCAAGGCGACTGACTCAAACGAAGAAACCTGAAAGGTTTTGACCAGGTTGATTATTAAGATATTAACATTTTGTATGTATTAGCAAAAAATAAAACCGTGATATACACCTGTTGACTTACAACATTAAAGAGTTAAAACTGGTGTAACATTCTGTTCTTTGCTAACAAGAACTACACAAAAGCGAAACTGGCGAAGCAACGCGGCCGCCCCGGCCCCGCACGTACCTGCTCCTCCTGCGGCGGCTGTAGCGGTGACAGTCATAGGCATAGTGGCCTTTCTCACCACACTCGTAGCATCTGTCGTTGGGGTCAAAGGGGCGCCGGGCAGGGGGCCTGTCGTAACGGGAGCGCCGCGGCATTCCCGTGGACACTTCCACTCTCACCCTCGAGCCACATATTATCCTACGAGACACAGTATGTGTTAACCACAGGAATAATTGCGCTCATACAACGAGCACGAGAAATCAACGGTTGGTGAGGGGTAGGCGGATCAGAGACTGCGGCCCTATCAGTCCAGGAGGCTCCAGGCATATACGTACTTCCCATCGAGGCCAAGCACGGCATCTTCAGCGTCCCGCGGGTCCTCGAACTCCACAAAGGCGAACCCCGGCGGGTTCCTCGCGATCCACACGGTTCTCAGCGGGCCGTAGTAGCTGAAGGCTCTCTCCAGCTCGCCTTTGCCCGCGCCCGTGCCCAGGTTGCCCACGTACACCTTGGTCTCTGCGGACGAACGAAGGAACGAACGGACGCCATGTCAGGGCCGCGCCAGGCACGCGGCTGCCCCTCCCCCCACCGCCATCTTTGACTCCGCGTCCATCTTAGAGCGCTCCCGTCGGGCCGCCCCCCCCCCCCCGGACCCGAGCCCCACAGGGCCCGCGGCCCTGCGCGTGTCCCCCGCGCCCCCCTCCTCGCCGCCGCCGTCGCTTCTCTCAGCGGCTGCCTGAGGCGACAGACGCTTTCTCCCACCCTCAGCGCGGCGCGAACGCCGCCGCTCCACTCCTCGCTCTTGTCCCCCCCCAGCAGCAGTAGCAGCTCCCACACGATACCCACCCCTCTCTCTCCCTCTCCCCCGCCGGCCATACCATAGCGCCCATATCGCGACATGGTCCCGGCTTCCCGACCACAGCCGAGGCTCTCTCAGGCGCGACCTTTTATAGAGAGGAGCTGCCGCTGCGCCTGCGCATCGCGCGGGGGGCGGGGCGGTGCAGGCGCGCGCCTCGTCACGCGCGGGTCTCGCGAGAGCGCAGCTGCCTGAGCGTGCGCGCGCGCGCACGCGCGTGTGTGGAATCCCGCAGGGACGGGCCTTTCCCGCCTTTTCCGCCTTTCCCGCCTCCAGGCGGGAGGGCGGCGCTGGATGTGGTCGCCTCGTAGTGCCCGTGGCAGCCCCTAAGCCACGAACCTCCCCGGGGGCTCCTCCTGGGCACGGGCTGCTCGCCCCCCACCAGCCCCATGTGAGTGCTCCCGCCTTGGCGGTGCCAAGAGGGAGCAGAGGGGACCAGAGCCCCTTGTTCTGCCTCACACCCCTCATGTGTGATCCATATGGGCTTCTGGCCCTGCTGAGGCTGGGGGCAAAGGTGCTGACACCACAGTCCTTATTCCACGGCATGGAGGCAGGAGCATTTCCTACCTCGTAACAAGGCATTCCCAAAAACCATGGCATTCCCAAACTGTGCCAAACCTGTTGGGCGGAGTTCGACCTGACACTGGCTCACACATCAGATCCATCCCAACCACCCTTTGGGTGCTGCAGAGTTCAGGCACTGGTTTATCCCTTCAGGCAGCTGAAGCTTTCAGGTGTCAGCCTTTCCAGGGAGACACGTACAAGAGTGCATGTGCAGTAGACATTTTTTAAGAAAAACTGACACAAACCTGACAGATTCAAAGTAATTTTAGATAAATCCCAGCAGGAATGAGGAGAGCCTTTTATTAATGAGGGTCAGACAGACTTTTCAGCTGCATGTGAGCACAGCAATGTGTTTTGGTGCTGGCTCCTAATAAGGCAAAACAAATACACTCTGAGATAAATGAGGGCTCTAAAGGCTCCTCACTGGATTAATAATCTCAGGAATAATCACACAATGATTCCTGCATTGTGTGTTGTCATAAACTAGAAAAAAAGCAAAAGAAACCACAAACTGAATTGCAAGACATTCTCGTTTTACAGAACACTGATTTTCCAATCGCTGCTGCTCTAAAATAACAAATATAGATAGGGAATGCTTTTAAGTGGTTTTAAAACTTGCAATTTGCCTGCTAACCTTCCCTAAGAATTTTACAAATTTGGGCAACATCATAATTCATGTTCTAAACCAGGAGAACAGTTGTGAGGAAAACAAACAACAATTAACCAACTAAAACAACAAAACAAAATAAAACAGCTTTCTGAACTAACTTTTTAAAATCTGGTTTGGAAGTCCAAGTGTCACAATTCTCTTTCTAAAAAAAAAGAAAAAAATAATCTGGTAAGCAGTTCAAATAAACATGCCTACACCACTAGATAATTAATCAAACTAATTTTAAAGGCAGAGGAAAACACAGCTTAAATTTCTTGTATATCACCTTTCACAATACTGTTACAAAAATACTAAACTGATCTATTAAGTGATAAATCAGTTTAATACAGCATCATTACCTAATGGCTCGCTTTTAATAAAAAATAGTGCATGAAAAATGCTTGTGCTTTTGGTTTATACCACTTGTTTTATCCCTTTCTTTACATACAAAAAAAATCAGACAAAAGTATCTAAACCCAGCATTTTTGCAAACAGTGAATACTGATACCCAGCAAGGTTCCTAAAACACGGCAGGTAGACCCTTCCCTAAAGACAAATGCTTTAACCAGCAGACATCACTGTTGTTTCTCTAGATAACCCTGTACCAAACCCTGAACCCGGGACAGGATGATCTCGTTGGAGCTGCTGCACTGCTCGGGGCCATACGGGGGGTCAATCGTTAACACCCCTGCCACACACAGTGTCCTGCCCAACTCCCCTTGCTCCGTCACAGGGATGTGGTTTGTTTCCAGCCACGTCTTCAAGTCATTCTTCCTCTTCTCCAGTTCCTCTGGGCTGTAGGCTTTGCTTTCTTTGGGCGCGAATATGCGAGAAAGGCGTTGCTTCATTTCACTGTCCCCTTCTTTCAGTATTTCGACCTCTTGGACAGCATGGCCCATGACAACCGAAATGGACACCTTTTCATTCTCCGGGAATGCTGCAAGGACAATGCTGTCAAGAAGGATGTGTGAGTCTCTGTTCTTAATTGAAGACTGAGAAACGCAGGCCAAGATTCTTGGAAATCATGCTCGTTGGCATCAGCCTATCCCAGGTACTTAGGCAATAGACAGCACCCAGCATTTTTCTTTGAAAAGAATGCTGCTGTACTCTTAAAATACTAAAAATGTGGGCTTTGCAAGCAATTGGTGGTCTTGAATTTGAAACTACTCTAGACACTATCAAGCAGAACATTAAAGAAGTGAAGTGTACATTAAAACCAGGGCTCAGAATCTAAATAATTTTGTGCAGCTTTCCCAACCTTGCTGAAGAATCTGAAGTCTTTAGAAACAATGATACCTTCAATACATTTAGCATTTTCAATACTAAAGGCAATGGTGACAGCTAACACCACTAGAACCGTTTAATGAAAACTTATTAATATTTATTGATCATTACTAACAAAATATTTTTTTAAATTACTGTTGCTAGTTTCTTAAATGAAAATAATAGTTTGAGTGTTACAAAGGGACACATTACAGCAGGTTCAGGTTCATGTTGTAGAAGCTTCGTCTTTTCCTAAGGGCACTTGCACCCCAGAAGTCCTTAAATGCAGGTAGGAAGGCAGCTTGTTATATTCCTAGGATCAATTCCTCATATAACAAACAACTGTCTTCCTCTTCTGGGAACCAAAACTCCAGAATTCGATGCCAGCACTTCACTAATCTATTGTTACCACCCTTAGTGGAAGTAATGACTTTTTGGGCTATGTCCAGTGAAATCTTGATTTCACCAGAATCACTCACTGCTGCATGCACCTTTCCTACCGAAATGGTAAGAAACTCCAAGAGAAGACTATCAGAGCTACTCCAGAATTGAAGCAACAACCAATTCTTCTGATACACATCAGAAGCTGAATGCTTTCGTTTCTAGCCTTCATCCTGTGCTCGTCTGGGACAAGCTCAAAACTAAAAAGGTATGAAAGAGCTCTGGCAGCAAAGAGACAAATTTCTGCCAATTGCCTGGTGCATTCTGCCTCTCAAACCCTGTTTTCAAGTTACTCACTTGAGATACTAGAGACCTGTGGTACCACTTTCTGTCCAATGCCCCTGCTAATTTTTCTTGCTTCCTCTCCAAAGAAGCCACTACACCTCCATGGGTGTCTGGCTAGAGGGGAAAGCAGGGCACTGATGTGAGAATTCTGGACAGAGGATAAGGATTTCAACACCTAAAGCATTAAAAATATTCCTGCATTCCTGCTCTCTTTGTAAAGTAGGGCTTGGTATATCAGTAAAAGCAGTCCTAAAGATGTGGATTGTTGAGAACTAATAGTTGTTTAGTTTCATTTGTAAGTTTTAAATCAGAGTTACAATATTGTGTGTTTTAGTATCCTGTTCCCTTAGCTTTACCTGCTTAACATGAGCAGATGGATTTGATGAAGCCTTAGGCTGCAAGCTGTGAACTTTCAACTTGCAGATATGCATTTGGCTGGTGTAGAGTTAATTTTCTTAGCAATTTTCCTAGAAGCCAGTACAGTGCTGAGTTTTGAATTTAGTATGAGAATAATGTCGATAGCACGCTGATGTTTTGGTTGTTGCTAAGCAGAGCTTACTCTAAATCAAGGACTTTTTAGTTTCCCATGCTCAGTCAGTGAGGAGGTGCACAGGAAGTACGAACCAGACGACAAGAAGGCTGCAGCCATCAGCAGAAGCTGCAACTCGACAAGAACAGTTAATGGCCTGTCTGCAGGGACAAAGAGAAAGAATCCAGTAAGGTGTTTGAAGACCCCAGACCAGAAATCACCACTGGACTAAGAAGCACATGCAAAGTGCATGAGGAGCATGTGAGCAATGGGCACATGAGCTGTAAGGGTATAAAAGCCCAAGGACTTCTTTGTTCTGAGTCCCTCTCCAGAGGTGCCCAGCTCATGCTGACCTCCTGCTGTACCACTGTATTACATTATTTATTTTTATAAACTACAATGTTGCTTTCTCTTAGGCCTTGCCAATTAAATAAACCCGGATACACAGCCCCAGTGTGCAGTTTTTGCTCCAAATGAGTTTGCTTCAGTTTTGGGATCTTTTCTTCTTCAAAAAACCACCTTGTTTTCTATTAGTTTTACAGAAATAAAAGCTTAGGTACTCACCTGGCAGAAACTGGATCAACTGTTAAAACCCATCCTTCATATTCGTGTTTCTCAATTGCAGCAACCTTCACCAATTTGTTCATATATGTTTCCCAGTCTAGAGGGCTCTTCTTCTGCCAGTCATTCATATTTCCTACATCCAGAACCTAGAAAACAACCAGAGCAATTAGCAGACGCAGTGAATCCTTTTGCTTTGCTTTTCACATCAGAACTGAGTTTGCCTCCAGGATAAAGATTCGTCTTAAGTAAAATTTACCATTTTTTAAAAGCAGACGTTCCCACAAGTGTTTTGCATACAGCTGCAGTTCTGTAATTTCCCACTCAGTTCACCTGTTTTTAAAGGCACACCACCAAAGCCTCAAAAATCACTGTTCTGGTAACTCGACGCTTTAAACATTCCATTTATTGCTCCTGCCCTCTTACAAAACCATCGGGATCGCCGTCCCTTGAAGGTAAAATTTTACCGCCTTTGCTTTGTGTACTGGCACAGCACTTGGGTCCAAGCCCTTCCACTGCCTGTGGACAAGCGTTATCCCCCCGGATCCCGGCTCTATTCGCATCCTCTACGGCAGAGCAGCAGCAAGTGCGTTCCACTCTTTCCCCCTCCAACAGCTGCACTACCAAGAGCAAAGCTACCTCTGGTCCAGCATTGGATTCCATTCCCTCGTCCCCCCGCTAAAGGGGCCGGAGGGAGATGTGGGCAGCGCGGTGCAGGGAGGACCAAGGGCTGGGGGCAGCTCTGTTCCCCGGAGGCTCCCTGGCGATGCCAAGGGGAGCGCTTGGAGCACCCCAGCTTCACAGGAGCAGGAGGCGGGAGCGCTCCGAGTCCCCCCCGCCCCCTACCCGCTCTGCCGCTCACCTGCCCTGTTCCCGTTCCAGTCCCCACCGAGGGCTCTTGGGAACTGCGCCCGGGCGGGATCTGCTTCCTGCCGCTGCCGAGCGCCTTTCCCCGCCACGGTCCGGGGGTTTGGGAGCACGAAATGGGCCGATACGGAGGGTTTTTAACTACGGGTGTACATATAAATTGCTTAAAGGTTTACATGTACGAGGCCCGGTTGCAAAATGAGGAGGTGGAGCCGACAGTGCAGTGGAACTGCCAGCTTCAGCAAGCCTTTTCAAGCAATCCCTGTGCGTAAACAGGGATGGATGCACGCTAATCCCTGTGCATAACAGGGACGGATGCAGGCTGTGTGCACCTCGTACATAAAAACAGGATATTTTTGCTCCCCGGTTTTGAGTTGCCTTTACAAATTTCCCTGTGCCGCTGTGAAGGTGAGAAGCTTGATTCCAACACCCACACCCACCCACCCCGGCTGCTCTATTTCAACAGCGTTAAGGAAAAGCTTCCTACGGATGAACCAAACAAGCTGCCAGTCATGTCAGTAATTTGTGAAAGTGAGCATGCAATGGTTTTGTGAGCATAAAAAAAATATATCAATGCTATGAAATGAGATAGTCGTATTTTGCAGACTTGAGGTAATTTCCGTTTTTAAGTCTCAATTCAACTTCTGCAGTACTACAGGGATTACTTATGAATGGCTTGTGTCACTGTATTCAGCTACTGCTTTCTTTCAGTTATAGTTTATTGGAAAGCAGGGATAGCAAATCTAACTGCTTTCATTCTAAGAGCAAGCAGCACAATGGGAAAGCAGCTCCCGTTTAAAACAGCAGCAGTGGGAAGAAGAAACATAATTTGTTTTTTTCTATATATATGCATTTTAGTTGTTTAACTGGTTCCCTTCTGGATCAGAGACAGGAGAGTGGTTTGTTAAACGTCCCTTTTGAGCAGAATACTCCAAAAGTCTTCAGTTTTAATCCCTACCGATCTTTTTTCTCCACTGTTGTAAGTGTAGTTACCACAGCTCTCCCACCTTGAATTTAGCAGTCGCCAGAGGCGACAATCAAGAGTCACAGAGAGGTGAGGCTCTCCCAACTCACGTGACTCTGCCATTGGAAGCTCCTGGTGCGGATCGAGCCATAAACACTCGATTTGAGGGACAAACTCCGCTTTTCCTGTGGGACCCCCCCCTTCGGAGGGGTCAGCACCAGCTCGGACCGCTTCCCCCAGCTAAGGGGCAGCCCGGAGAGGCCGTGGTTCCCGGGTGCCACTGGCTCCTGATTTGGACATCGCCTCCAATACTGGATATATCCAAGGACTGCTCCCACATAAGAGATGCCCAGACAGAAAGGTCTGCTGGCCTTACTTCCCTTGGGCAGATGATCGTGCGCAGCACCAACAGCAGGCCCAGGTGCTTCCTTTCCCAAGGAAAGGTGCAATTCCCCCTCAGGCGCTCCGCCCCCCGCGCACGCGCGCCGCCGCCGGGCGGGGACAGGAGCGCGGGGCAGGCGCATGCGGTAGCGCGTGCGCGCGGGCGGCGGAGCCGTCGGGATGTCGCGTTACGGCCGCTATGGAGGCGGTGAGAGCGCTCGGGGCGCCGCGAGCGGCGGGGGAATGCGCGGGGGGCAGGGAGAGAAGGGTCTGGGCAAGGGGCGATTACCGCGGGGAGCGAAGCGGCCGGCGGGCGCTGGCGGGGAAGGGAGGAAGGCGAGGCGGCCGCTGCTGGCGTTGTCGCCGCCGCCATTTTGCGTCAGCGGTCGTGGGGGGAGGGGGCGCGGCCGCGCGCGCCGCGCTCGCGGCGAAGGCGGGAACGGGCCGCGCGGACAAGATGGCGGCGAGGGGGGGCGCATCTGAGCCCGGTCCCGGCGCTGACATCGCTTCGCTCCCGCAGAGACCAAGGTGTACGTGGGCAACCTGGGCACGGGCGCGGGCAAAGGCGAGCTGGAGAGAGCCTTCAGCTACTACGGCCCGCTGAGAACCGTGTGGATCGCGAGGAACCCGCCGGGGTTCGCCTTTGTGGAGTTCGAGGACCCGCGGGACGCTGAAGATGCCGTGCTTGGCCTCGATGGGAAGTACGTATATGCCTGGAGCCTCCTGGACTGATAGGGCCGCAGTCTCTGATCCGCCTACCCCTCACCAACCGTTGATTTCTCGTGCTCGTTGTATGAGCGCAATTATTCCTGTGGTTAACACATACTGTGTCTCGTAGGATAATATGTGGCTCGAGGGTGAGAGTGGAAGTGTCCACGGGAATGCCGCGGCGCTCCCGTTACGACAGGCCCCCTGCCCGGCGCCCCTTTGACCCCAACGACAGATGCTACGAGTGTGGTGAGAAAGGCCACTATGCCTATGACTGTCACCGCTACAGCCGCCGCAGGAGGAGCAGGTACGTGCGGGGCCGGGGCGGCCGCGTTGCTTCGCCAGTTTCGCTTTTGTGTAGTTCTTGTTAGTAAAGAACAGAATGTTACACCAGTTTTCTTTAAACTTTAACTCTAGAATAAATGCATAGGTGTATATTACAATTTGTTGCTATTTCTATCAAATGTTAATATCTTAATAATCAACCTGGTCAAAACCTTTCAGGTTTCTTCGTTTGAGTCAGTCGCCTTGATTCAGAATGTCACGAGCCTTAAGATTTCATGCTGAGGCGCCTTGCAAATCCGACACTTAAGATCCTCCTAGACCTTGAGGTGATCAGCATAAGAGGCCAGATCCCCTCGAGCCATCTACACGTAGCTTCACCTTATTCTTTAAGGGCAGAAAATTTGAGACGGTGACCGCCGTAACAGTAAATTTGGCTTTCAATTGGGGCCCCCCTCCGGTTTAGAAAGAGGAACACCAGATTGACCACATTCCCACCTAGAAAAATCTTCTTGCGTCAATCAAGCCTCACCCTGGCTCATTGGGCTGTCAGTTTGATCGTCGTTAGATTGAAGAGAACACCTAGATGCAGCGATCGGCTATAGATACTTCTAGATCGTCTAGATCTGCTAGACCTTGGGCCAAAGAGGGTCGACCTGCAAACTTGCAAGGTTTATTTTAAATACGCATTACAGTGTTTTCTATTCTAATGTAATTCTGCAAATGTAATTCAGCTTTTAACATTTTTCTAGGTAGTAAAAATGCTCAAGACGAGTAGGCCCAGAGAGTTTTTCCAAATGACAGATGCTAGTTCCTTAGTTGTCTGAAATAAGTTTTGACTTCAGCAGGGCCTCACATGCACTGGTTGCTGCAGCTGTTTGCTGATATCTGTTTTCTCTAACCTAAACCCAGGTCCCGGTCTAGATCGCGCTCGAGGTCCCGAGGAAGGAGATATTCTCGGTCACGCAGTCGGAGCCGTGGTAGGAGGTGTGCTTCAGTTTGTATTTTATTCCAGTTTTCTTATTCTGGTTAGAGAAAGCTGCACTTGTACAACTCTTTAATTGATTTCTTTGCAGGTCCAGGTCAGCTTCCTATCGTAGGTCCCGGTCTGTTTCTCCTCGTAGGTCTAGGTCCGTGTCTCCTCGCCGGTCCCGATCGGCTTCCTTGAAGAGATCGAGGTAATTAGAAGAAATTTTTAAAAGACTGTGTGCTTTACTTAGGTTGGAATTTTTTGTTTTAATTAGGTATTGGATAGCAGACTTCAAAAGCTGCTGAGCTCTAGAAGTCAGCTTCTTATAAAGTTTCTGATAATCCTAGTTAAATTCCCTGGTGTGGTAATTCAGTGAGTTTTGAGACCTTACACAGCAGCATCTCCTGTAATGAATTTCTATGTGTAAAATGTCTAGTAATCATGTAGGTTTTAAATTCAACATGTGGCATTAATTTTTGTAGTGCTGTAATTGTCGTCTCTTTTGGTTGAGTTGACTCCTTTTTTATTTATCTTAATTTTTTATTTCAGGTCTAGATCAAGATCCAGATCTAGGTCAAGATCTGTTACATGGCCCCGAAGCAGGTAAGATCTCTTCTGTGACTGCAGATACTTGGTTAGAGTTGCTTAAAAGTCTGTTTAGGCTCTCTAACAACTGTTAACATTTTCAGAAAAAGATGTGTTTTCTCTCCACTAATTTAGATGTTTGTAGTTTTAAAAAGCAATGCAGAAGATTGTTCTTTTTCTTTTTATTGTTTTGCATGCCACTGGCATCCAGGTCCCCGTAGTTATCACAGCTGTTGGTTTGATCAGGTTGCATTAACAGCTAACAGAGCAAACATTTATCTTAAAAGTTTATTTTTCTTTTTGTAGCACACACAAGATTGTAGATTCTTCCCATTATTTTTCAGAGAACTCAGGATGCCCTTCTGGCAGTGTATTAATGCATGTAGCCAGGCAAGTCCTGAAGGACTTGGTAGTGCCCTGAGTGCTGCAGATGTAGTTCCAGCTCTGTTAAATAACAAAGTGTTTGTGTGCAGGAGCTGACTTCAATTTGAGATAAACACCTATTAGAATTATTCTGTACCAATAAACATGTAATGAGTAATGATCAAATTGTAAAGGAACACAAGATGTCATCTGTTCTCTTAAATTCTATTTCGTAGTAAGTAAATGCAGCTGGTGTTTCATGGAGCCTTGTCCAGGCAGTGTGATTGACAGGCTGGATGTGCTGGATGGACTGTCAGGAGAACGAGAGTAAATTGAAGTTCTGCTCTGGAGATGGTGCTGCTTATGCCTCAGCCCATCCCCGTGCCTGCTGTCCTGGTTTGGGGGCTACTCTTTGAAACAAGTAACATAATGGTTAACCATGAAGAAACACAGAAAAATAAAGAGAACCTTTTATCTGTAGGGAGAAAGTAGAAAAGCCTAAAGCTGAAGGCAGCATTTTCTGACAGTGGAACAGCAAGCAATCATGGGAGTTTTGAGGGAAGGGAGAGGTGAAGACCAGAAGATGGCTTAATTAAGAGCAGACACTCACACAGAGTAGTCCAGAAGCTAATAAAGAGAGAAGGAAGTTCCCCAAGGCAGTAGATCAGGTACACTTTTCTGCTTGTTGAATCTTAATACCAGTTGTTTCAACATGACTTAATCATGGCTCATCAATGTTCACTCTTGGTGATGAGCAGAAAACAGCTACAGTCAGCAGATTCTCAAAGGAAAAAACATCTTGATTTTACCACCATTGTTTTCTCTTTTTCAATACCAGAGTGGTTTTCTGCAGGGTAAAAGATACCTTTAGTGACATTTCTGGACTATTGTGTGACATCTTTCATTGTAAGTAGAAATTAGGTGACTGAGGCAGAGGAAGTTACAGATGTACAGGTGTAAAGAAATGGCAAAATAATGGTGCTTAACTCCAAGGAGGTCACTGCTACACTTCACATGAGGCAGTTGAAAGATGGTTTCTTTACAGAAGAGTCCAAAGAATGTGTCACACCTGGAGAAAAGCTCTGTATTCATGAGGAGGACAGACTAAACAAGTACATGATGTTTGCTGGTTTGACAGCATCACAACATACATCTGGCAGTTGTTGTGGAAAGCCTTGGATGTGGAATATAGAACGCTTCCTTTGGGGATCTAAAAATTTCAGTTAGGCTTTCAGGCAGTATTAGTGTTTCTCATGGTGCAGCAGTCTTATCTCAAAGACTGACATTTAGGACAGGTTTTTTTCACAAGGATTAAGTTCAGACATTTCAAAAAATATTTGAAGCAAGTGTATGTATAAGATGAACTTCACAGAGGAGAAAGATACTTGAGGAATGTGCTGTCTGCAGCCAGTTTAACTGTAGTGGTAGATGTCTCTCAAGCCTAATAAAACTTGCAAGTTTAGAGCATGGCTTTATATTAGCTGTGTGAAAATACTGGTCAGGATTTGGGTTGTTCATGTATTCCTGCCACCTGCATCAGCAAACACTGGTCATCAGCCAGGGACCAAAGTACTGAGCAACATGTGCAACATCCATGTTTAAAGCTTTCTTCTGAAACTTAGCAGGCAAAGCCCTGGAAAGTTGCAGGATTCTTTGTGTTCAGCATGACAATTCTCATACATTGAGTGTGACTGCTGCTGTCTCAAACATGGGAACATGTGTGCTATCAGCTTCCATGCTGAGCTGTGTTTTTTCTCTTTGTTGTAGGTCTAGGTCTCATGGCAGATCAAAGTCTGGCTCTCCAGCTAAGAGGTGAGCATGCACAGATAGAGCCTGCAGTAGTGTCTCAACTTCAGTGCTAGGTTTGCATGATTAACAGAGCCTAGTCCTTTAGAAAAAAAGTCTCCCAACATGGGCCCCCACCTAATCTGTTTGTGATATGACAGAGATTATAAAATTTTCTCTGTAACTCTTGGGAATATGTTCCCAAAGCTGTCCCTTTGTTTTCATTAACTCTTTGTGGTTTCCAACATATTACTAATTTTTTGTGGGTTTGTGCTCAGTTGTTATATTTTTCTATCCATAAGAAAAAGGGCCTGAGCTTTGTTAATGCTGTTGATAAAACAGCAGGAACCTGTGGTGATGTTTCTCTTCTCAAAGCCTCACGTCAGTACTACCCCTTGCTTTTCTGTTCTGTCTGCTGAAGACAGTTGCTTAAAATTAATCTTGCTAAATGAATAGAGAGTCCCTGTCAGAGTAAAAGTTGATTTGAAAAATTTGATGTTGGAAGGACCTTCTGGCTAGATCCCATAATAATTGAATTGCTTTCTAATATGCTTTTTTTTAATATAAAAGTTTTGAATGTGAAAGTATTTGATCTTTAAGCTGCATTGCTGATATTCTGTTTTGACAGTCGGTCAAAGTCCCGATCACCATCTCCAAAGAGAAGGTATGTTGATCTCCCTACTAGTAACACAGACTCCGTAGAGCTGGCATTTTAGTATCTGTGTTGATTTCTGCTGAGGAGTTTGACTGCTCCTTGTAGGAAAATACTGGAAAGGTGTTTTGCTGAAATCTCTTTGACAGAAATGTCATGGTTGTGGCTTTATATATGGTAATATGTATACACGGTAGTAATTCCTCAGGGTACTGGTTACGCAGCAGTGTTACATCCCATCTTTGTCTGCTCCCCTGTTCCTTTCAGTTCACTGACAGTTTCATTGCATAGAGACTGATAAGCTTAAAACACAGAATAAATGTAGAAATCAGCTTTCAGTCTCATTAAAAGCTACATGGAGGTTGGGGAAGGTGGAGTAACCTGGCACAGCAGTCAGGAATGGAAGATCAAGCCTGTGACTTTTACTGCTGTCACATAGATTATTTGTTCTATCCCAATAACTCAGTAAAGTTTTCTCTCTGTATGTATGCATTATGTGTAGTGACAGAACCAGCAGCACTTTCTCCCTAATTTGAATTCTTTAATAGTTCATTTTTACAACTTCAGTGTCAAACAATCACAAGGGTGTGAGTAGGTACTCACAAACACTGAATGATCACAATAGGTTTTGACAAGCTGATGTTTCAGAAAAGTGAAGAGGTATCCTACCTCTCTGAAGGTCACTATTAGTAATTAGATAGCCTGACAGTAATCACTTGTAAATTGTATTATAAAAATAACAGGAAAGAAATGCAAAAATTTGAAAGAAAAAAAAAGTATTATGTCTAAATCATCAACCTGTTACCATTTTCCATACTGATTGGTTCTTTTATTAAAAAACAGTGCTTAAAGGGTGCCAGAGTCTAGGTGTCTGTTGCTTTTTCCTGTCTTCATGAATCCCAAAGGACTGCTGAAATGTTAATTGTGGATTCTTTTCCTTTCAGCCGCTCACCATCAGGAAGCCCGCAAAGAAGTGCAAGTCCTGAAAGAATGGATTAAAGTTATGAAGTTAATCTTTTAGGAAGAAAGTTATTTTGCTTACATTATTATAAGGGATTTTGTGGTGTCTTTGTAAATGTAAGAATGTAGATAGAAGAGTATATCGACTAAAATTTGGCATGATCTGGGTCTTCTGAGTTAGTCACACCAATAGACTAGCACAGGTCTCTTTTTATTGTATGAAATAACTTCCTGTGATATGAAAATGTGGGACTTTTTTATTGGCACATTGAAATAAAATGTGTATTTTTAACTAAAACCTCTCCGTAGTAACCCTGCTGCTTCTGTTAACATTTGGGTAATTTTAGCTGTGTGCCATGTAATGTGGATGACAAATGTCTAAAATGGGAATGACTAACACTGGTCAGTGTCTTCTCAAGGCAGCCACTTTTCACATCTGCTGTTGAATGGTCTTTGGTGAAAGGATCGGTTCCTGCTTTCTTTAAAATGGAATTTAAAATCCATGTCTGTTTACAGATGGATAAAAATTGGCATATGACCATTTCATTCCTTGATGATTATTTAGTGGGCATTCATTTTTTTCTCTGATTTGCTTATTCTGCAAAGCTTATTCCCTGGTGTTTGACTGGTGATACCAGATGCTCGAAAATTTAAGGATAAACTTCTCCAAAACACATCTTTTAAGCAGATAACATCTGCAGAAACCTCTAAAGGTAATAGAAATCATTAATAACTTGACAATTGCTACTTTCATTTGTTTCATTTTTTAGTTCCTTAGGCTGTTAATATAAAGAAAACTTCTTAAAATATCTCAAGGCGAGTTTTCCTTTTTTGAGGGAAGGAGTAAGGCCTTCTGAGCTACTTTCTGAAGGACCTTATGAAAATGTGTTTGAGAGGCGAAAGAAAGCTGTTGCCAGTCTTTCTGCAGCTCACTCAAACTCTCCTCCTTTAAGATTCTCAGCTGACCTCAGGAGTTCTAACCTGCTTCACAGAAACTGGTATGTTTTTAAAGCAGCCTCCATATCCTGGAGATGGTTTTGTTGAATTATGCTAATTTCTTACAGCAGATGTACAACCTGCAGGACTAACTATTTGTGTATAGGTGTGTCAAACTCTGTCCTCATTCTGTATAAAAGAATTGTATGATAAGGCACTTTGTTGACACAGATCACAGTAAAAGACTGGAAACAAGGTTAGAAGACTGCACAAACAAACTGGTAGGCAGAGGGGAGAAAAGCAAACTTTTTTTTTTTGCTAGGATGGGATATCTAGCAGATATCCCAGTTTCAGCAGTAAATAAGCACTGAAATGGAAAGCAAGGCCTGTTTGGGCTTCTAATGCAATCTGTCATAGCAGTTTGCTTCCAGTGCGTAAACCACAGCAGAGCAGCTCACCTGGAAACAAAGTTACAAGATGAACTTGGGTCACACCTTGGGTAATGTGGTTTTCAAGAACCAGGTTTACTGTTAACATGAAGCTTTTCCAGTGTTAACAGTCCAGATTCTGAGTGTGCTGACCTGTTGCAGCATCATCTGGCCCTTGTGCCTGGTCCTCACTGCTGTGGTGCTTCCTGTGCCTGGATCGTCCCTGGTGCCCACGATGGGCGTTGGGTGTTCCCTGTGCCAGGTGCAATGACCAGTATTCCAGCAATACCCGTTAAATTCCGTTGTTGCCGCAGTGGGAGAGCAGGGGGTGGCACGAATGTTACCCTGCAGTGATTCAGCCCAAATGCTCAAAGCCTGTGATCCGTGTTTGGAATATTTACTGGTTGTGCAATGCCTGCCCAGTTTATGGTGTGCCTGGTGAGAGGCACATGTACACCACTACTCTGGAATTTGATCACCTTTTCTTTTCTGTACTCCTACGGCAAAACTACTCCACAATAAACCTGCAGACTGACACGACAGCTATGCTAGTACCTGTTTTTCAGTACCCAGAGACACTGTGGAAGACTGAGCTGAGGAGCCCAGGGTTTCTGTAGGGGGCTGGGGTTCCTCTACACCCGGGTGCAGCAGCAAGAATGTGAGCAAGGAGGCAGGGCTATGCTGGCAGGGACGGCCACTGCAAAGGACAGCAAGCACTTCAAGGTGCAGAGAGGGAGCAGTGACAAAGCTGGCATCCGTGCTGCTGTGCAGCTGTGGTGTCCAAAACGGGGTGGCTGTGCTGTCTCCCTTAGCTCATCATCATCTTTGGAGGCTGCGCAGCTCCAGCTCTCACCTGAGTCTGGGAGGATTTCACCACAAATTCCATACAGTGCGAGCAATTGGAAAAGATCCCCTGACGGGTGTGTTGTGTGACGGCTGCTGCTGTGACCTGGGCCCTGCACCTCTGGGCAGGATGTGCACACCCCACACAGCCTGGGTCAGGGGCAAGGGGACACATATCCAAGGTCTCTGGTGCGATGGGCAAACCCCACTCTCATAACAGGATTCCCCTGATTTGCAATCTGGCATTCCCTGCTACTGGGCTTTGCTCTCCAAGTGGGTGCCTGGCCCAAGAATTGTCTACCTGTTTCCCTGGGGAGAGGGCTGTCAGCTCCCTAATATGATGGTACGGCCATCCCCTGGTTTATGCTAATTTTTTACGAAACCTCAGAAACATGGAGGTTTTTATCAGACAGGCCCCTCTTACAGGGGTTTTGAGATTACATGTTTCATGTGGAAACACAACATTAAGATGATGGTTTTCCTCCTGCAGTTGTATATTCAGGACTAAATAGATGTGCCTGCTTCACTTCAGCAGCCGAGGCATCTTCCATACTATGCTCTTGTGCAGCTCTTGCTGGCTTCAAAATAGGAGTTGAACCAGAGGATCCAGGGCAGCCAGGTGAGATAATCCCAGCACAATGTCCTCCACAAAGCTATTCTGCACTGTGCACTGTGTAAAGACAGCAGCAGCCAGCACAGCTCGGAGCACTTTGCAGATGTTGTAATGAACAACCACAACTGCATCAGCCTTCCCATGTGCTTTGCTTGAATATCACAGATGTTCCCCTGCTGTAGTTGGAGCTGTGACGTGCCATATCCCTAAACAAGGTGTTTTCAGTGCATTTTTTACTGTGAAACAAAACCTAGTGCCCAGGATGAGGCTAGGCAGAATGTGAGAGCTTTGCATAGAACAGATAGCAGCAGAGGTGGTGACAGGAGTTAAAGCCAGCAGAAATCACGGGTGAAAACCACAGAGGAAGAAAAATGCTCCCAAGTGGGATGCATCACCCAGGGTAGTTGGAGAGCTCTGTTCAGCACCTGGCAGGGTTTCTGGCTAAGCTGCTGGAGGCACTTACCCCTCTCACTGGTAGGAGTCAGCAGCCCTTCTCCTCAAGCACTGTTGAACACGAGCCATGTGGTGGAGTTGTATTCCTCACCCGGATGGAGTAGGACGTTGGGGAAGTGGGGCTGGGGAGAGGCAGCAGCACATCAGTGACTGAGTGAATTCCGTAGGACCACAAAGATTCATAAAAGCACAGCTGCATCCCTTTGGCCTTCCCAGGGCATCATCCTACAGCTCCCCTCAGCCATTTCCAGCAGCAGTGTGTAACCCCCCGTCACTTGCCAGCTGGCTGAGTGGGCAAATCCTCCCGCTGGTTGAACTCAGGCCATGAGAAATAATTCAGATTTATGAGGACGTGGCAAGGCCCCAGTGGGGTCTTCTGCTCTAGGCCCCATGCTTTTGGGAAGCTGGGCTGCACAGGGCTAGTCCCTGCTGCGCTGGCTGACCCGTCCCTAAGGCCACAGTATGCTGTGACCTGTGCCTGCTTGTTCTGGTGTCTACAAAGCCTCTCCAAGACTCTGTTTATATATTTAATGCCCCAGAGACATGGAAGGTGGTGGGGGTATGGTCCCCTGCCACAGGACCCAAGTAGCTCCTGTGGGGGGAACAGACAGTTCACCTTGTTGACGGCGTCGGGCCAGTTCTGGGTTTCCAAGCAGAAAGCTGAGTGCTTGGGGTATGTGATGCCACCTTTGCCCTTCAGGGAGCCATCAAGGTTGTTCCCGGTGTAAAACTGGATGCCAGGCTGGGTGGTGTGAACCTCCATGGTCCTGCCGGTGGGTGGGTGGCGAGCCCTGGGGAAATGCCAGTGGAAGATGCCAAGGCACTGGCTGAAGGGGCACCCCACAGTTTTAGGGGTTGGGGACCCCTTGCCAAGGTCCCAGCCTACCTGGCTACAAGGCGTGGAGACTGCACCTGCTGCAGGCAAAAGTTGTGGTCAAAGCCATCCAGGTGAAACTTCTGCAAGTGCTTTCCCAGCTCCACAGGCTGCCGGAGATCAAATCCGGTGCCCTGCACGGCGGCCACCTCCCCTAAGCAAGGAGAACAGCAGCGTCAGCCACTCCTCCACACACCAGCAAACCCCTGTGGGGCTGGTCCCTGGGCAGGATTGAGATCTGTTGGTTTGATGAGCCGAGGGGTTTTAGCCATTTGTGATCCTTGTCTCGGTGCATGTCCTGCTTCAAGCAAGGGCCACTGTGACTTGGGCTGGGACATCACTACCTTGTCCTCAGCACAGCTGGCAGCCCCTGGGGGCGCTGCTGTTCTTAGCAGGGGCAAAGCACAGATACGGAGCAAGAAAACTCAGGGGAGGTTTGTATTGGTAACTGTACAAGCCAATTAATATAAACCCAAAACTTCTTAGCTATTAATGTTTGTGTATGCATAATATTTACATACAGACACTATCTATCTCTGTACAAAGAAATTAATCCTCCTAGATCTCTGAATAAACATCTGTGAGATGGCCATGAAGGTGGTCTACCTATGGGATGGTGAATATGGGACCAGTGGGACCAGTCCCCTGCTGCCTCAGGGCATTGTTTCAGGAAAATGGTTCAAGACCATAAACCCAACATTTTCTCTTGTCTTTTTTAAGGCCTGCTGTGGGAATGAAGTCCTGTGAAGCAAGAACAGCCCTAAGACACACTAAACACAGTGCAAAACACAGTCACGCCAACCCAAAGGCGATGGGTTTGGCATAGGAAAGGGGAGAGATGAAGGGAAGGGGAGGGATGTTTTCCTAAAGTCACATTTTTTCTACCCCTCTCTAAAGAGAGATGTTTCCAAAGGTCAGCAGGCAGCTGCCAGCATTGGGGATGGTAGTGTGGGAACATCCCAGCCCTGTTGCAGGCCCCATGAGCTGTGCTCTGCTCACTCCAGCTTGGCTGTGGCTCTGCACCAGGTGTGCCCTGCAAACCTTAGGAAGCATCAGTCTGCACCTGACAAGCAGCACATTTCTGTGGCTCCTGATCCTGTCTAAAAGGAACACATTTACTAAATTCAGCCGTGAGGTGGAAAAACACCTTGGAAAAAAATGAAACCGTTCTGATTCAGTTACTCACATAAAATACAGAAGCCATTGCATGCCAGGGCTGTGTCTTTAATACTTGCACAAATCTTGTCTTCATCCCAGGACTAAGACTACACACAGAATAGGGAACTGCAAAAAGCAGGGGTAGCAAGCTGGCCACAACTACGATGCAAAACATCTTCATGGTGAAAGAAGCAGGAAGAAGCAGGGCAGTGTTTTTGGTATGGCCTTAAGCTTTTCCTGTGCTTGTGCACAGGCATGACATGCCAAGCTGAGCAAAAGCCACATGAACCAAGGAATCCACTCCTCCAGGTGGCCCAGGTAGCTTGTCTTCTGTATGGACCCATGTTGCAGTCTCACATCACACATGCCTCTGGCCCCATTTCCTGCTGCTCCTGCCTGCACTCCCTAGGCAGACCTAGTCTCCAGGTCTGGGGCCTGGTGATGTAACCAGCACCTGGCTCTGCCCACTCTGCTCAGGCACAGTGGGACTGTGCCCATGGATGAGGGCCCCTGGGATCCCCTTGGTGCTGGTGTGTCCCCCTTGCTGGGCACTGCTGCTCCCAACACCAACATACTCCTCTGACAAACCGCTCCCCCCATGTGCCACACATGCCGAGCCACCCACCGGTAGGGATCTTGGTGTCGTCCACAGGCAGGTAGGAATCTGCTTCAATGGAGATCTCATGGTCATAGACATCCGGGGAGCCCTGCAGGAGGATGGGAAATGCTGGGATTCCTGCTGCAGCCCTTCCACTGCTCAAGCAGCCCTAAGCTCATTTGGGAAGTGACCGTCCACAGTGGTGCTACAGCTGATCTGGTAGTGCCTGGCCATCATCCTACCCTGACCTTGGGCACAGGACAAAGGTACTGGCACAGGCAAAAATCTTCATGGGCCCTAAGAACTGTAAATCCCACAGGGCTTGTACCTCACCAAGCAGTACCACCCTGAAGACTGACTATCCAGCAAAGGGCAAAGGGGGAAGGAAGCAAGCAGGGGAGAATTAAACCCATCCTCCTGGCTCATCTCCTGCATTGCAGCAGGGGTGAGCTCCTCCTCTTCCACAGCCTCAGAAATGCTGTCAGGCAACCTGTTGGGCTGGAAGGGGAGCAGGATCAAAGCTGAGCCTTCAGGTCACTATCTAATCTGAGGAGCAATTTCATGCCTAAAGGTCTCCTGTTCCTCTGGAACACACCCGAGTTGCAGAGTTGCAACACTGCAGGTGTTGATACTACTGTACCTCTGGCAGTACAAGCACAGGGTACACTTACAACTGCACAGCCACTATCAACAGCAGCCTCCTGCACAGAGGAGCTGGCTTGTCTCTCACTAACACTTTTAAGTGTCTTTGTCTCATGTCCAAGCGTGACTGCACTGTACTATCCTATTACTCTGCCCAGCAACATTTTATTTCTTAGATCCTTTTCCCTCCTCAGTTATAAACAGGGTAAGACTAAAACACTGCTGCAATTAACAGCCTGTTTGGTTGACAGGACCCAGAACAGGGTGTGGGAGCCCTCTGCACCCGACTACTACAACCTTGCTACTCTGCAGCTTTGGCTATCTCACATCCCGTTTCCATGATGTTTCTCCTCCCCATTTTGATGTGGGTATTTCAGTGCTGGCATTAGAGGCCCTGAACTCAACTGCACCACCCTGTAGTGGACTGATTACAAGATGGAGTCTGATTACAAGATGGAGTCTGCTTCACCATTGTCTGGAGCATGGAGTTAAAAACCCTTGATGCCACAGCTAGGCTGCTGCAGGAGCTGAGCTACTTGCAAAAGCTTCAGGAGACACCTAGCAAGCCAGCAGAGGCAGGCAGAGGAGCAAAAAACATAAAAGGTTGTTACAATCAAAAAATGTGGGAAGGACTTACTCTCCCAAATAAGGTATGCCAGGCAGATCTTGCTTGGAGAAAGGGGAACCGGCCAATGGACACTCAGGGCCCATCTTGGTAGCAGATGACCTTTGCTTGGATACTGGTGAACTGGCTAGTGGGCATCCGGGGGCTACCACGGGGAGGGTATTTAAGGCCCTGTCTGGAGACTGCTGGGGGAGCTGTTTGAGGACTGCTGCGGGAGCTGCTGCCACTCTGTTACCCTGCTGGTTCTGCGTTCCTCAGCGGATACAAGGTGACCAGGGAAGAAGCCCAGCAGAGATCTACTAGCTTGCAAGCCAGCAGAACTTCATGGTGGTGGTAACTCCTGTCCTGTGCTTTTAACAGTTACCCTTAGCTTTTCCTACTTTTCTATCTTCCTTCTTTCTCTCTGCTCTCTTGTGTTACAAAATAAAGTTGAATTATTGTCTTGGGATCCAGCATCTGGCCTCGTTTGTGCCTTAATCTTGCTTATGAGAATGTTTTAGAACCTGGCTCCCCTCTGCATCTAAGCAGATTGGAACACACTCATGCAAGGGTTCAGCATGTTGTCTCAGAAGTGCCAACAGAATACAGCTAAGAAATGTCAGTCCAGCACTAGGGCACACCAGGGCACCTCCTCTGTAATCTCCCCAAGGGAACAGGAGAGACTGAAGCTCCCCAGTTACACACAAAAGGAGAGCTAATATTCAAGAAGCACTGAGACAACATGTCCTCAGTTGAGGTCTGTGCGATTCTGTCCTGTCCCTGCATGCAGCCCACAATGCATAGAGACAACCCCCAAAAACATGCTGTGTCCCCAGACCAGCATGTCGGTCCCAATGATCCCATGGGAAGCTCCCAGATCATCCCTTGGATTCCCAGCCTTTCTTCCTTTGCACAATGTCTCTCCACGGAGTTCATCTCCCCACGCTTACCTGCCCTGCGAGGTTGAAGTATGCGTGGTTTGTCAGGCTGATGGGTGTCGTCTTGCTGGTCTGGGCTCGATAGTTGATGGCTAGCTGCCTGCCACTAAGGGTGTAGGTCACCCAGACTTTCAGGTCTCCAGGGTACCCTTCCTCACCATCGGGGCTGAGCCGGAAGAAGCGGACACCATCTGGGAGTACCTCGGGGCTCCAGAGAACCTGCAAGGAGCATGACTGTTGGTGGGACAGTGATGGGAAACATCACTTCTCTCCTGCCACAGCCTGGGCTAAACCCAGGGACAGAAGGCACTCAAGGGATGTTGCACTGAAACAAAGGTTTTTTCATTCACCTTTCCCGCCCTTACTCCTAGAAGGGAAAAAAGGAAAAAAAAAAAAAAGAGACCAATCAATCTTTTTCTCCCTGTGAAGGACTAAAACCAAGATCCCCTTGTTGAAAAAAAAAAAAAGGAAGAAAACATGGGCACCAGCCTGCTCTTGGTCAGCCAGGACCAGCAGCAGGGAACAAGTTTTCCAATGAGCAGCCAGACAAACAAGGTAGTTTGGCAGTCTGACGGTGGTCTGTTCCAGCCTGCGTTACTCCATGCCTAAGAGAGTCCACACGTTCGATTTTTGCCCTGCAGCTGGACTTATTCCCCTTTCCATGGATCTTGTGATGTACAACATCACTTCAATGAGCTGCCACCCTTCCCTCTGCTCACTAGGCTCTGGCTTCTAGGACAATGTAAGTACACACCAGGAGCTCTTGCTCAGGGGCTGGGGTTGGGTTAAATGGTACCAGATGTATTGCCAGACACATCTACAGGTCTCTCTCCAGAGAGCTGGCACCTCTCCCATTCTTGCCCCTGCCACAGACCAGGGCTCTGCTTGAAGCCAAACATGCCAGCGAGTGAGGCAAGGCAGCTCACCACACACAGATGCCCAGATAGCCTGTTTGACCCTGGCCTGATGCTAAGGATGGATGTGTGATAAGAGGTGAGGTGTCTGGGCTCTGGAGTTTTTCATCTACCTAAGGAATAGTTACTGTCTAATCAAAGAGGAGAGATTTAGGAATGGGGGCCAGATAATGCTTTTGAGATGATCCTTCTCACGTCCTACCCAGAGATCACAAACAATGGGGCACTGTCAAAAGCCAGCATTTTCACCAAACATAGGAACTGAGGGTGCCAAATATATCAGGTTGCAGAGTAAGTCCTCCTGCACAGAGTGCAGGTCAGCTGCAGCTCCCACTGCTCTACAGATGCTATGGTTTCAAATACGAGTTTCTATTTAAGTTCTTTGAAGAAAAAGCTATTAAAGTCCAGGAAGCATAGAGGTATCATCATTTTTTTAAGATAAGAGGGTTATTTTCTGAAGTCCCCCAGCAGTGTGGTCATGTACTGCTGCCATGCAAGCACAGCTGCAAGACCCTCATCAGACCACACACTGACCGCAGCACTGAGATCTGCAAGATCAGGAAGAACTGACAAGATCTGTCAACATAGTCACAGCCAAATGCCAGTGTGTCTTGTTTGTGTTAGGGTTATCTCTGAACAGTGATTATTTTCTGGCTGAAGGAGGTCTTGAGAGGGTGCCCACGTGTGCCCTGTGGGCCAGAGGACACACAGCTCTGGCTGGGAGATGTCACTGCCTTGTCCCCAACAGGCTGGTGTGCCTTCAGCAAGCAAGGGGAAGAGACCACATCCCCCACCTGCAGAAGACAGCCCGGAAGCCTCAGGTGCAAAGGAGTGCATGTTTTCAGCTCCAGATCACAGGAGTCAGGGTGCATAAAGAAACCTTAAACCAAATTGTCCTCTTTGGGGCACAACGGCCAAGGCACCCCTGTACTCCCTTTTTCCTGAGGCTGCTGAGGAGCATTTCATCCCAATCTGATGACAGTTCACACTGTACTGCCTAGAAGTGATTTTTTTTCTAGACAGTCTGACTTTTGTCCCATCAGCCTGGATGTCCTTTCATGAAATAAAACATTAACCCAGGAAAGCAGCTGCACCAGCACATTTGCATGTGTTCCTCTGAGGAAACGGTGGATCAGCTACCTGCTGGTCACAAATACATTTGATCTGACAAAGCCCAGGAAAGCAGAGACTTCTGAGTCTGCTCTGCAATGAAGCAAGGTTATCAGCAAGGCTTTCAAGAGAGGAAATGCTCTGTTGCTCTCACCATCTGTAGTGCAGGGACAGTATTTGACTTCAGCAACAGCTCTTGGGAGAAGATGGAAAAGGTTGAGTGCCTGGGTGCCATGGAAAGGTTATTTTAACTCATGAGGTCACAGGGGAGGGCTGGGAAGGAGACACAGTGGTCTTGGATCCTGGGATTTCAGGCCTGATCTAGTTCCCCACTGCTGTGAGTCAGAGTGAGAACCAGGTGGATGCATGCAATGACTGCACTGAACCTGCAGCACCACCCTGCTCTCCTCTTACTTGGAAGTGCTGTTACAAGCAAGCAGCAATGACAGTTTCTGCAAACCCAGGTCCTTCTGACTCTGGGAGGAGGTATGGGCAGGTACCAGCCTTTAAACTGCAAGTGGAAATCAGCCTGTGTGGATCCCTGTTCCCCAGGCCACTTTCTTTGGGCACTGGCACACCTACAGTACCCACTCCAGGGTGGTACAGCGGGTGCCCAGGGAGCCTCCATTGCACTTGAGGTTGGTCCTCACTTTTGTGTCCCAAGCCAGGCTCTGTAGGAGCAGCACCTTGCCAGGACAACACTATCAGAACTGGGCTCATGAGGCCTCAGGGCTGCAGTCACACAGAGGAAGCACAGCACCCCTCAGCATGACATCAAGGAAGATATAAGCGAGCCCTGCAAACTCAGGCAAAGATAAACCAACCCAGCAGCTCACAGGATCCGTCTCACTTCCTCCCATTCCTGCACTCACAGCACTTTCTGAGCTGATTCAACTCAATAACCACCAGAAAATGCTACAGGGTCGGGAGGGAAGACATCATATCCTCTTGCCACAACCCCACAGACTGTGTGCTGGGAGGACACTGGGACTGCCAGCCTGATTTTCACCTTGTCAAATCCCTTGGCTCCTCCGTGGAGGCTGTTGGGCCCATTGTTGAGGAACAGCTGATACTCCTTCCCGTCCAAAGTGAACCTCCCCTTCGCAATCCTGTTGGCAACACGCCCCACGACAGCACCGAAGAAGGGGTGCTTCCTTGTGTAACCTGTCCAGAAAAACAGCACATGGTTGAACAGATTGGGACAGGATAGGTGGTCTCTGGGTGTGCTTATGGACTCAGAGGTGTCTCTGTTTCCCTCCAGGACTAAATACATGACTGCAGTCCCAGTGTTTAACAGGACACACAGCTCACCACTGATTAAAACAGCCCGATGGGATCTTGTATTCTTTGCAGATTTGCAGAAAAGGGCTCTTGCAGTCAAGGTGTTATTCAGAGCTGCCCCATCAGAGGGACACACTGCAAGCTGGAGCCACCAATGTCCCAGTTCAACATCCACCACATCCAGCCAGGACAGGCAGCAGGAAGTGTATCTGTTCAGCCCATGATTTGGAGGGGACCCTTAGAAGCAGATCGCGCTGTAAACGCTGGTTAAATTGCCTGATTGTGGCGGGGGGTCATTTTATTTTTTTTTTAAAGAAACGGATTTAGACCCACCTTCCAAAGTGTCAAATCCCAGGACAACATCTGAAAACTTCCCATCCCTGTCTTTAGTCTCCAGGGCAGCGATGATGCACCCTAAGGACAGGATCTCCACTTTCACGCTGTCCGACTGTAAGACGAACTTCTCCACCTCTCCTCCTCCCTGCTCCGCGGGCATCCGCCCGAACGCCTCTCTCCGCACCGCTGTCATCGCTCCCCAAAAGCCGGCCACCGACCCTTCCGGGGAGCCGCAGCGCTGCCCGGGAAGGACGCTCGTGAGGAGGAAGAAACAATGGCGGCCGGGATGGGAGCACACAAGGCTCCAAAGGGCGGCCAGAACACCGGCCCGGCCGCCTCCCGGCGCGGGGAGGAGCCGCGCCGCGCCCGGTGCAGGGAGCGCTGGGCACCCTGGGCTGACACCGAGGGGCAGCAGCCGCCGGGTCCGGGCGGCGGGAGGTGGCCGACGGGAGCGGGAAGGATGCGGAAAGAAGGGAACGAGGCTGCGGTGCTCAGGCGGGCGCTGCCAAGCCGGGCAGTGCAGCCGCCAGCTCGCAAGTCCGGGGGACAGACCGTCGCCTCTACCCTCTCCTGTGCCCCACTTGCATCACACCGACACGACTTTCACGGCCCTTGCAAAGCGTGGCACGACAAAATGCTGTTTTCTCCCTTTGTCCTTTCTCCCCCTTAGCCCCTCCACAAGAGGCACAAGGCAGTGCCTGCTGTAAATCAGGGTCAGGGTATTTGCTGGCCAGGGTGTTGTTATTCTCCAAGTTGTGGCTCTGACCCAGACTCCATTAAAAATCATTGTCTTTCGAAATGTTGACCTCTGCCTGTCTCTGGTCTTTGCAGGCAATTTCAGTCTGCAGGAAAAAACCCTGGCAACATGTAAGTAATGTATGTGCATATTTTTGACCTCTCTTGGCAAGGCTCAAGTGCAAGGCTAGAGAACCTCACTACAATTTGATATGGTTGTATTTCTGTGAGAGCCCATTTTCAGAACTTGTTCAAAGAACCAATAATTCCTAGAACTGCCACCAAAAAGCCTCAATCAACCAACCAGTGGTTGCTAAATCTTAATTTCCAACACAGCCATCATCCTTTGACGAGACAAACTACAAATTCCAATCCAACACAGAAACAAAACCTCCCACCCAGGCCTGAGCAGAGACGGTTTGGAAACCTGCGCTTCTTTGTTGGTGACGGCCTCATATTTGCTGTGTAACACAAATGTCTGTTCCTGTGTTTTCTTCTGCACCTTCTCAACCAGTGCTCTCTATCCAAAAACAACACTGCAAGTAAATATGCTTTTTACTGCTCATCTATACTACCTCCCATTTGAGACACGACAAGGAGCAGCACAAACCTTGGAGTGAGGAAGGCCCCTGATGGATGGAAGAGAGGACAACCTCATTTATAACTGATTTATGAAGTGTTTTCACATGCAGAGTGTTCCCAGAAGCTCACTCCTTAGCACCTTGACTCCCTCAACACCTCTCCCTTAACGTGCTTCTCCAGACATAGGAAGCATTTCTGCTTTGCAAAGACCAGATTTCATTGACCTGTGAGTTTTTTTAACATGACAGGGGTTGCCATTTTGATTTACTTCTCTGATTTGCAGCAGAGAAGGTCCAGATCAAACTCTTTGATGTAACAGCCATGGACACCCTGATTTTCTCACCTATCTTCACAGATGGAAGACCACTCAAGCCCCGGTGACATCTAAGGCTGTTCCAAGTGCAAAAGCAATACCACAGACAAATCTGTTAATGAACTAGCCACTCAATTTTCAAGCTAGCAGATAAACTAGAAAAGAAACCAGCTTGCACAAGCCTGAATCTTGCAGGAAACAGTAAGAAGCAATGTCAGCTTTAGAATCTGAGCAAGGTATTCCAAGAGTCCTGCTTCATGACCTTGAGGATTTCTATTTTTAAGGAAGAGTTTGTTTTGGGCCTTATTCACTGTGGCACTGAGATTTGCTTACAGTGATGGTCAAATGCAAGCTCCTTGCATTTTTCTCTTCTTTCTTTGCAGAAGAAAACTGCAGTATTGGGCCTGGACCCACCTGGCATTGGTAGCAGGGCACTTCTACAGCTGGTGAGTGTTCAAAAGAGCTTGCTGTTCATCTCTGAGACTTTGGTTTCACTTCTCTGCTGTGCAGCTCTGCATGAGCAGCCAGGCAGCACAATAGCTCTATACTCTGTATCTTCCCTTGCTCTCACTGAAAAGGCACTGCAGCAGCCTTTTCCGACCCAAACCACAAAATGTTTGTGAGGAACAAGGATTTATCTGCTCTATTGCAGCCAGTGACCCTGCAGGAATAGCAGAGGTGTGGCATGAAGGCAGGTTACATGCTGCCCAGAAGCCTGGTCCCACTGGTCCCAGCTCCTCTAAACCAGGCAAGATATTCCTGTCTAGTAGCAAAGGCGAACTGGGAAGTTCTCACTCACCCTGTGAGTGAGTGGTCCTGTCTTTCCCCAACCAAAGAGCTTATAAAAAGGCACACTGTGATAAAGAACTGTTTTGTTGGGTTTTCGGGTTTTTTTTGAGAGGGAGCTACTATGAGAAAACAAACTTATCATGAGAAAAATTACAGAGGAGAATTTACTTCCCTGGGATCGGCAGTTTGGAAATTCCTGGTGCTTATAGGGCGGCTACCATTTTGCAAGACAGAAGTGAGTCCTTGGATTTTATATATGTTTGTGCTATTTTCTTAGGAATTCTTTATTTTTGTGCTTTTCTCAGATGTTTTTCTTTAATCCAAAATAAAGTGACTTTGCTTAAAAGGCTACAGTCAGCCAAAACTGTCGTGCAGAACCTGCTATGCCAAGATCCTTTTTCTCTTTGGTCGTAGGGCACTTCTGTAATAAATTACATCACTACATTTCCTTCCTTAATTTTGTCTTTATGTCAAATCCAGCTGTAATTTTCAGTTTATTCTGGGCCCAGAGCCAGACTTTAGGACTCAACTGACTAAAAGGTAATTTTAAAAGGCAGTTCAGATTTGGGAAGGGACATGTGCTTCCTTATAGTATCTAACTCTGTAACAGAGATCTCTGTTATCTGTCTCTGTTACCCAGATCCAAAACTGCCATTTTCATCAGAGCTGCAGGAGTGTAATGTTAATGTTGCTTGCCATCCTTGAGACAGGTGACATGTGTGTATGTCTCCTGTGGGGAAATTTTGGACAATACTCCTGGGCCAGATTGCTTGGACCAGATCTCATTTTGGGGATCTAAGCTGTTTGTCTCAGCATCGTGAAGTGGTGCTGCTTTGCAGGCAGGTACCAGAAACTATCAAGCTGTTATTACACCAGTGGCATTTTGATTTGAAGGTGACAGAGACACTCCAAACGCTGTAATACTTAAGCAATGGCCAATGATTACAGTTTGCTGTTGCTCAAGAAGCTTCCTTATTCAGTAATAGCAACAGTGATGTACCCAGCACTGCAGCTGGAGATGGGGTCTGTGGGGGTTGATTGCTGCACAGATACAGAAAAGAATGCAGACATGACTTCTTACACCCTCCAGCATTACAAGGCTGTAATTAAATCCCTTTTTCTGACAAACTCTGTATAAGCCCATGGGATGAGCTGGCACTTGAAGCCTGCTGGGAGTTTGCATCAGTACACAGAACAAAAGGGGAGACGTTTCCCCACCATTTTACTGTCTGCTTATTGAATGTATCTTCAGCTCAGCTGGGTACTTCCCGGCACACAGGCTTAAAATGGAGCCTGCAGTTTTTTTGCTTCATTTCTTCAGGGGCAAATATACTGAGCCATTGATTAGGTTATTTTGGGATCATGGCATGGTACAATTGCTTGCTGTTATTCTGGCAGTCATTTCTCAGAAGCCTGTTATGCACGTTTTATAAAGCTCTACAAAAAGCAGAGCTCCCCGAGAACGTTTTACACAGCACGTTTCTGATGTGCCTTTGTGCGCAAGTTGTTTGTATCTCAGTAGCAGCCAAAGAGCCATTCAGATGTGTTGGTTGCTATAGTAATTACTTTCCTTGGGAACTAAAATAATAGCTTACAGCTCCTGCAGCTCGCTGTTGTGTAGGCTGCCTTGAACCAGAGACACTTCCATGTTGTTTTGGAGGGGGCTGGGGACTATAATGTATGCCAAGAGATAGACCTTCCTCTCTCCTTTCTATGCTTGTGCAGCTAATTTTGAATTTAACCTTTGTAGAGGATGTGCTACAGGTCTAAAGGCTCAAAAATAAAAGCAGCTTATGCAACAGTAGGACAGCTTTGCAGCTGTGGTTTCTGATGGGGCGAAGACTTGGATTTGCTTTCCATTTCTGTTACTGAAAGCTTGTGGGAGAGAGACTGAGGCTCACACTGAGACTGATGCACAGCGCTGAGGACCCTACAAAACAGTGGGTGCAGGGCTCAGAGGAGTTTCGAAAATGCCTCAGCAAGTCAAGCAGGAACATGACAAGTAGGACAGCTCTGCTTCATTCAATATTTTTTCCACTGGTGAAGTCACTACTGTAAGGACCTGCATCTCTGAAGAGGGCTCTGCATTGTCGTGGAGGAGGCACCAAACAGGAAGGCCTGTAAGTTGCTTTGGGCTGCTGGACTGACAAAACTGCAGCTCACAGCCAGATGGGCTGGCATGGCATGGCACTTGTGGATCTGCCAAGGAAGTAGAAGAAGAAAGGCAAGGGCAAGTGGCACAAGAAATTATAAGCCCGATTACCCTTCTGCATCATGAAGCAGCTGTAGGTTGACTGCAGACCACACTCATGACTCACAGGGGTTGACCTACATAAGGGTCCCAGCACCAGGAACAAGTATCAGTTTGGTTTTGCACTCAGAGGACAGCAAAAGGGGAGGAGGATATAAAAAAGGGCTTGGGGGAGGGGGGCAGGAGGAGATAAGATGAGAGGACAGAGAAAACAAATAGGGAAAGCATTTTGCCTCATGGTGCTGTCCTAGAAAATTTGCTCTCAGATGTATACATGGCTGCACTGGCAGCTGGCAGGGAGATGCCAAAGGGAGATTAGAGCATCACCTACTAAAGGCTGTGAATGCACAGCAGTTCCTGTTTGAGCAACAGCAAGAAACAGAGTCAAAGGGAAGGAGGGTGTTTGTGGAAACCACAGGGCAAAACTGGGGGCCTTCATGTGCAAGGGGGATGTGCTTGGCTTGCAGGCAGCTGGTGATAAGAACTTACTTCACACATGCAGATGTGCAGATCCATTCCCCCACTCCCCAATTTAGGCATAGCATACACAGGTTTTGTGTCTACACATCTGTGCTGCTGAAGTACAGTGCCTTACCAACAGAGCTAAAGCAACAGGGAGTTGTATGAGCATCCCCATTCTCCCCAGGCAATGCTGAATAAAGCACCCTTTGGCATGCCCACATGTTCCTATATGAGGCAACAACAGCAACACTGGTATAACTAAAGCTAGGTGACTTTTTTTATGGAGGGATAGCCCTGGAAAGCCAAGGGTGATGCTGTTGTTGCAGTAAGTGGCAGTCCGGGACTGCTCTGATGTCCCAGAACCTCGTGGAGGCAGAGAGAGCCTATGGATGCTGGGCATGGGGGCTCAGCCTGCCTTGTCTGACTGTCCCTACAGCCTGGGACAGGCTTGTTGTACCCTGCCTTCAGCTGACACTAGGCTGGTTGGAATTCAAGAGGACATGGTTTTGGTGTTCCCAAGCCCTCTTCCCCTCACAGCGCGGATGTAGCCAAGATTACTTGGGTAGTGTCTCTAAGGACAGTGCTTAAAGATCATAGAAATCCCAGGGTAAGACAGGATGATAGACTTTGTTAAGGAAATCCCTGAAAAAAATGATACAGGAAATCTGGAAGTGTTTCACTGCAAGGACTTATGGCTCTCTATTGTATTTTTAAATTTCTTTTTATGATTAGAGAGCCAAACCTTTAACTCACAACTGTCCCATTGTGCAGGCTTCAACTATGAGAACATGTAAAGTGTCTGTTCTGTATTAAACTTGTTGTGATGTTTCTTTTTTTTCTTATCTAGGAATTTCCTATGACCCTTTTATAAAGCTCTTAGGCTAAGTTTTCTGCTTTTTTATCAGAAAATTTGGCTGCGTTTTTAGTCCTGGTGGATTGTGGCATACCAAAAACTCAAAATTGTCCCTGAAGCACACCAGTAGAGACAATATTTAAGCTACAAAATCCTAAATGCAGAGGGGGAAAAAAAAGTATTTATGTGTCAAGATGCTCTAAGAACAAAAAAAGTAAATCAAAGGTATGTGAAGATAAAATTTCACAATCAGTCCAGTGTATTACTTGATTCCACAGAATGTCATCTGTCTTTGAAACAGCTGTATTCATGGTGGCCAACACCTGCACTTTTAGCAGAGTAACAAAATTTGTTTCTTTAACCACAGTGGCCTCAGATGTAGGAGAATCTTGGCTTTCCTTAAACAGGAAATCTGCAGTTGTTATGGGGACTTTAAAGCATAATTAAAAACATGATCCAAGGATGAGATACAGTCTCAAGTTACCACAAGGCGAACAAAATAGTTTAGATTGATTTAGCCACAAAAATGTGACTTCTGATCTTTAAACCATGGTTTAGGTGGGGAGCAGGTGTAATTCACGACCTTTGATTTCTAGGATTGGCAGTACTGGTCTAAAGAATGATTAATGAGAGTATTTCTGGATCACTAGATTTTTCTTTGGGTTAATTTGGGAGTCAATTTTGTTATTAATTATTTTATATTTGACATTTGCAATGACTCAGAACCTGCACTTTAGAAAGCCTTGTTATATTAAAAGCAAAAACTGCAGCTATATTAAAAATTTGGAGAGGCTGCAAAAACTTTTCTCTACTGGAGAAACCGTTTGTGCTAGGTAAGTATTATTGCCGGCATAATAACGATTTCTTCTCAGCAGCAACTATTCTCCCAGAAAGACATCATAAGATGAAAAAAATCTCCAAAGTTTGCTGTCACATGTCATTAAAATGACTTATTTCACATCACTGTATGGTAGGTAGCCTGTCTAAATGTGTGGCAACTGCTGGACAATGCATGAATGCTCCTGTGGAGTGTGAAAAGCTGAAGTGTGTCACCCGAGAAAGAGTGTCAATGGCACCCTAAGGACGCGCTTCATCAAGTGCAACTTCCTAGTCAACTCACTGGGAGCTCTAGAGGGGTAGCAAAGATGGTCCAAAGACCTTATCTGTATAAACAGCATTTCCTCAGGCAGGGAGGTTGTGCCAGACAAATGAATAGTCATGGAGTAGCTCAGGTGGTAATATGTATTGCAATTGCATAAGAGATAGCTCACTGCACATAGATACCTACCACGAGTTCACTGAGCCCGATTCCTCCACCCCCACACAGTGTTGTCATCTGTGCTGCCAGCAGCAGCAGCAGCCATGTCATTGTCACAGGTTTAGATGCTGTCAGTTAGGGCTAAGTGCAAGTGGGAATTATTTAATTTTATTTTATTTTGCTTTTCTTTCTTGTGAAGCAATACTTGGTGAACTCACCCCCTTTGTTATAGTCAAAATCCTTGTGCTAGTGTCATGCTTGGGGAGTCCAGGAAGGTGGCAAAAGTAATGCTGTAGGGAAATCACAAGGGATTTACCTCAAGGTCATTGCAGCTAACTAGGTGAAATGGTACAAAATGTTTTTTATGGCTTTAGCCACCAGAACCTTCTTTGGAATAGGCGAACATAAGCGTAGACAACATTTTAATGATAATCAATAGAACTAATCCTGATGTACCACATACAGCAGAACTGCTTTTTTCTTACAAAGTATCTGTGCTGTATAATGTGCATTAAACCACTGCCCAAGCAAAGACATATATAAGAGGTTGGTTTGTGCTCTGGGGCTGTAGCATCTCCCACCCACACAAGGATAGGGAAACATCTGTTCTGCACCCAGTCTCACCCTGTAGACATTTTTTCTTACCAGTCAGATCAAAATCCATCACCAGTTTGCATTCCTGTCACTGCAAGCAAAGCAGTCCAGTGGTGCTGCACCATCCTGAATGGAAACAAAGGAGATCAAGGTTAGAAACAGAACACCATAACTCGTAGGAAAGCACCTGGCTCTCAGACATTCTCTCACTTAGATACTGAACCTTATGCTCCAGTTAAGTTTTCACCATTGAAGAGCAAAATACAAACCACAGAACTTCAATTAAACTACTATATTAGCAAATAATATCCTTTCTGGTAGCTCTGGTAGCTCTTCACAAGTGCTTACCAAGTGGTGATTCTGAGAAGCAACCCCTGCTTCACAAATTAAGCACTGATCATTTCTAGGAAGTGTTGCCTAATATAAATCCAGAATTGTGAGCCATTCCTCCTTTGGGGATGCAACACTCAGGAACAAAAAAATGCTTCATTTAAAATGAAGCAGCTATTTTAAGACAGGGAGGACAGTCCTGGTATCTGGATACAACTTTCCCCACAGATGGCAGTTCAGGTTGTAAGCAAAGATCAGACCTGGCTAAGGGCATGATTTGTGTCCACAGAACAGGAAAAGCTTTTGACCTCCTCAGCAGGACAGGCTGTCCCAGGATTGGAGCATTACACTGAAAGGTAGCTAGGGCCTTTGGAGGCCATGTTGGTCAGCCCTCTTTTCTCTCCACACACCCCAATGTCCTGCTCGCTCCTCATGATTCTGTGTCCACATTTCCTGAGCCAGGCAGGACAAGGAAGTTGCCTGGGTTTCTTTCAGAGCACTTGACTATGCACAGGGCACAGCCAATGTGTGTAGCACATCCACATCTCCTGGACATGCCAACAATCCAGCAACCTGCCAGCAAAAGGAAGACATTTTGGAACTGCAGTTATTTAATGCTACAGCCACAAAGAAGCAAAGCCATCCCTTGATGGGGATGTGAATATTCTGTTACAGTGTTTAAACAACAAATGGAGTCTACTGTTCATGCAGAAAAAAGTGATCTGAACCAGAGAGAGGAATTACTGGCTAGACAGATACGTTACACTGTCCACCCAATGCTGGTAACCAAACAAACCATAAAGGTAAAAAAGCACCACCCACATAGGGGCCCCATACCTGGGGAAGAGCCGCGACTCTGGGACTTTTATCTTTGCTGTGGCTGAACGGTGCAAACAAGTGTAGTGGCTCTTGTCTGCTGGTGTATCTCTGCTGTATTCAAGTCTGAAAATCCCACAGGATGACCTGTCAGGTTGCCTTTTTATCCTTTTAACAGAGGGTAATCACACATGCTGTATATAACAAAGAAAAAGAATAAAGCATGCAAAGTCAAAAACATACATAATGGAAAATGCCAAGATGAAAGTTTCAAATGCAAGCTGATTTGGTCCATCATGCCTAACTTGTTGTGATAAGTACTTTTATTTTACAGCCACTGATCCATTTGCTCATGGGGCCTCAGCCTCACTTGGTGTACTGAGCAGGCTGTGCCCAGATAGCTCAGTTTTTGCTTTCCTCCCACTCAGACAGGGAGCCCAGAGCTCCTCAGCTCATCGCTGGTAAAACTGACTTGTTTTCTTTTGAGTATTTTTCACTGCTGTAGGGAAGTGCATCACTGCCATGTGAGCGAGCAGCTGCTGCAGTCTGCTGCAGGGGTAGAAGACTGACATGTAGACAGATTTTGTACAGATGTGTTCTGGCCATACACTTTTCAAGGGACCATTTGAAATGCTTAAGGCCCGATTTCACAGATAATGCAATTTTATTTTGCACTCGGTTCTGAAAACCAATTCTGAGGTTGCCAGCTCACGTGTAAGAAGATGAGCTAAAAACAATGACTGATGGTAAGCAACTGGTTTAAGTAACTTGCCTATATTACATTGTATGAAGAGAAAGCAGTGTCATCACTTTTAAGCTCCTTGTGTATGTGTGCATCTATGTGCACAATGACTCTATATATAGACAGAAACATAGTGGTAATGAACAAAAACATTTGAAAACTTTGTGTCAGGTGATCCAAAAGAAAACCCGAGATCTCCTTTTGTGATTTTATGGATTTTGTACTTGAACTGACTACTGTTGGGTTGCCCCTGGCATGGAAACATTTAAAAATCATGCTTTTCAGGTGCAATCAAAGGAATTAATTTTTTTTTTCAGAAGTACTCATTAGACAGAGATAAACTTCTCTAAGTTTACTTAGAGAACTAAAACTTGGAGTTATTTGGAGTCTGATGCCTTAAGAAACAATAAATACCCCAGTATTTGTGATCCTTTTGGAAGTGCTGGCAACAATGCAAGGCTTGGTGATTCTGCCATGTAAGGCAATGTAAGTCCTTACTGGTCAGTGGATCTGACCTCTACCACAGCTGTTTATCGACCCAAGCATACACCAATTTAGGTATTCAAGCCAGTGTCAAATATGTTGAGCAGTCACGGTTTCTCTTGACAACAACTAGTGTATCACATGCTTAGTACTACCAAGCTTTGGTTTCAGAAGTCTTACAATGAGTACCCAGACATAGGGGTCTCTAGGCTGATGGTGGATTGAAAAGAGTAGCAAGTAGCAAGGAGAAGCAAGCACTGTCCAGCCCAGAGGAGAGCATGGACAAATCAGAAAGAAAATAATAAAATAATTAAAACTGAGAAGCAATTCCCAGTTTGGTTTGCCCAGGTATATTGGTGTTTTCACCATCCCTCTGCAACTGAGGCAGAGGCAACTTCCAGCAGGAGGGTGGTCAGAGCACTCATTTCTTAAACTGCTGAGACTAAACTCCCAAGAAGGAACAAAAACCCTGAAAGTGTAATGCTTTAGCATTGTAAGACACATTCCTCCTACAGTGAGCTAATAGCTTAATGTAATGTAAATTACAGTAAAGGATGTAAGAAAGGCAGGGCACAAAAGGAAGAGGAGAGAAAATTGTACTGGTAACAACATGTAATTCCAAACTATGAGTGTAATTATGCGATTTAAATTTCTGCAGGGTTTGGGGATTTTTCTTCATATCATTGTTCTGCTCTTTCTGTAATTATGTGGTTATACTCGACTGTACAGTGGCAAGAAATAAAACTAATTGCTGTTCTTATTGGAGGGTAGCGGACTGAAACCATGACTTCTGTTTATCACCTCCAGGTAACAAAAATTGTATGAAAAGAACTCTTTCAGGCAGCATTAGCATCTTTCTTCTCTCTCTCTCTCTCTTTTATACAAAAGCAGCAGGTCTGACGAGCAACATAACAGTGAAATCTGTCTGCTGAGTCAGATGCTCAGTTACAAACTTACATAATTGGAGTGTATTTCCATATTCCCTCCCTCCTTTCCTACCCACGAGGCACAGGCAGAAAAAAGGACTGCTCCAAGGATGCTCACAGTAGTGAGCAAGGAAGCCTCAATGTCACAAGTTAAAAAAGTAAAACATCTTAACATCTCCACATATAATTAAATACTGTACTAAGTCAGCAAAGCAGGGTCTGCTACGCAGGGGCACTAGAACCCATATACTGCACAGAGGCATCCTGAAACTCTGCTGTTTCTGGGAACACTCAGTAAATAAGAATTTGGTTAAACAGTATGTCACAGGAACACACAGGATGGTTTTGGGTTGGAAGGGACCTTAAAGATCATCTCGTTCCAAACCTTTATGGAGACCATGGAAAGGCCTGGTGTCATTTCTCCATTTTCAGAAAAGTACTTCTAAGTACATGGAGGATATTATTAAAGAAAATCTAATTATTGCAGCATTTCAATGCCATTTTCTGACTCTGGTACATTCTGTGATTTCTCAGGCTGTTACTTTTTGCAATGTTATGGTGTAAATGTCTGCTAAAATCCCACAGCTCTACCACATAAAACTAATTTACTAGAAACTTCATCTGATGAGTAAGCAGAAATATCAGTAGTGTATTTGGAAAGAAGTGCTTTATGTTCATAGATGGCATGTTCCTCATTGACTGTTTCAACCTACAACAGATGTGTGCACAGCTTCAGCCCTGTGGACTGTACGCTCTCAAAGTTGCAATGCTCTTTGTTAAAAAATAGGTACAAGTATAAGAAATACTGAAAGAAAAACATAAACTAAGAAACAAAGACCAAAGAGAAAATGAGAAGGTGAGAAACACAGCAAATTCAGTTAAATCAAGTGTATGTGCTTGAAGATAAGGTGATTAGATGAGCTGAGAGATGCAGATTCAAATCATGCCAGGCAGAATGGGAAACTGAACCTCCTCCTACTTCTTGGAGGAGTGCCTTTACTACTGGGTTTCAGAATAACAGAAAATGTGTAAACAACACTATCTGCTTTGTTTTCTAGCTTTCAAAGCCTACAAGTACCATTTCAGATTGAACAACATGTTTTATTTGATAGGTATGGGGCTTTGGGTTTTTCCACACACACACACCAAAAGAAGAAGAAAATAATAGCATTTACTTTGGCTGTCTTCTGAATCATTTCCCTCCCTCCTATTTGGCTGCTCAAGTGAAAAAGCAATCATATATCCATTCTCCAGTGATCTACTTCAAGCAAGGTTCCACTCCACATCCATCTTGGTTTGGCAGCCACAGCTGCAGAAACTAATTCAGCTAGAAAGTCCTGTAAGCCATTTATAACATTGGGAGTCTTCTTGCCATGCCTCCATTCACAAAGAAGTCTTCTCCCAGACAAACTGGCAAGACACAGATTGGATAGGTGGTCTGCAAGATGGGTAGAAAATTGGCTAACAGGCTGCACTCAGAGGATGGTGATTAATGTTTTTAACTTGGGTTGGCAACCTCTCACAAGTGCCCTCCCCCGATTGACATTGGGCTCCATGCTGTCCATCTTCACAATGATTTGGATGATGGGGGTTGAAAGCAGCTTCATCAAGTTTACTGATGACACTAAACTGGGTGGTGAGGACAACCTGCCCTATGAGGAAAGACTGAAGGAGTTAGGTCTCATCTCTCTGAAGGAGAGAAAGCTTGGGGGCAGGGGGCTAATCTCAATATACCTCAATATATCTCAATCACTCTTCACAAAGAGCCACACGGAGAAGACAAGGAGCAACATGAATTTTTTTACAGTAAGAACAACCAGTGACTGGAACCCAGGAATGTGACGGTAGAGTCCCCGTCATGGGAGGTTTCCATGCTGCTACTGGACAGTGTGTTAGATAACCTCATCTAGGCTCCCTCCCATAAAAGTTGGACCAATGATTTTTCCAGCTCCCTTCCAGCCTGGGCTGTTGGATGGTTGTACGATTCTCTGCACACACGCAGAGAATGGGCTCCCAGAGCCACCTTCGGTAACATCGCCCTGAAAAGGAACCTGAGCAGACCTACCATTTGCCAGCACACAGACCTGCGTGCAGCACAATGTGAGGTGTGCAAGCAAGTCTAATGCTCACCGGGCTCGCAGGGATCGCACAAAGTGCGCTGCTGTTTCTCACCGGTGGACACCGGACCCCATCGGCCCACTTGAACTTCTTGCAAGGGGCCGAGGGCCAGGTATGGGTGCTCAGGAGCGGCCTCATAGCTCCCCGAAGCCTCCGTGACCTTGGCAACTCGCGGATGCCGTGGCCCTCGCAGCCGGGACACGCCGGCCGCGCCGGGGCCCGCGTCCTCCGCCGCCCAATCAGCTCAGTGGCTCCGGGAAGCAGACAAAGGCGGCGGGGCCTGCAAGAGGCGGCGGTGGGCAAGGAAAAGGCCGCCGATCCGGAGGCGCTGTGCGGGCGCCCGGAGCCCCTCAGGCCGTCCCCGCTGCCACCGCCTTCCCCCGCCCGACCCTGAGGCACGGCGGGGGGCGGGGCCGGGTCCGCCTCACCGCGCGCTGATGGGCTCGCTCCCCGCCCAATCGCCGCCGCTCTGGCTCATGATGGACATCCCCGCTGACCTATCGCCGCGACGCGCTCGCTCCCTCCCCGGTTGGGAGCCAATCGCGACACCGGTGGCGGGCGGGGGGCGGGGCCCGGCGCGGGGCGGGCCGTGTGTGGGGCCGGGGCGCAGAGCATCGCTCGGGGTCGGCGGTGCCGCCGGCTCTGTCCCTGCTCCCGCGTCTCTCTCATCGCCCGCCGCCCCTTCCCGCCCCTTCCCTTCCCTCCCCTCCTCTCCCGCGGCCATGTCGTCGCCGTCGTCCGGGGAGCGGTACGAGGAGGAAGAGGAGGAGGAGGAGGACGGCGCCTACGAGAGCCAGGCCAAGCGGCTGAAGCCCAGCGCCGCCGCCGAGGAGGGCGAGATCGAGTACAGCGGCGCGGAGGAGAGCGAGGGCCGGCGGGATAAGCCCCCCGCGCCGCGCGGCGGCGGCGGCTTCTCGGGCGGGGTGAGGAGGGACGCGGGGCCGGCGGGCGGGGGGCGTCTCCCCTCAAGATGCGGGCGGGGGGAGGGGGCCCGTCCGGCCCGTCCCGCCCCTCCCGCGAGCGAGGCCGCGCCCGCCCCCGGCGCTGCTGCCCCGGCGGGGGGGCCCTGCCCGCGAGGGGGGGCCGGGGGGCTTCGCGAGGCCTTCCCGGGGTCGGGGCCACCCAGGATATGGAGGCGCTCCGGGCCGGGAATGGCGGGGGGCGCCCGGATGGGTCCTCTGCTCCGCAGACGTGCTCTTGTTCCTCGCCGGAGCTGCCCGCGTGAAGGGGCTGAGCCTGCGGATGGATGGATGGATGGATGGATGGATGGATGAATGGATGGATGGATGTGAGGGATTTGGGGTCTGAGACTCAGGGATTGCCGGTGTTCCCGTGGGCAGCTGGGTTGCCTTTAGGGGAGTATCGCCATTGCAAATTTTGTGCCTGCCCTGTTGCTGATCGTAACTATAGAAACATGGGGGGATGTGTTGAAACCAAGGCAGAGGGTACCTTTCATCCTTCCGCTTTACCTTTGTGTCTGGCAGCGTACAGTGATAAGGCTGCTCATAAACGATTGCCTCCTTTTTAAATTCATTTGTATTTCTACTTTCTTCCTCCCCCACGAGCGCTGCTATAAGCACGCTGGTTCACTATATTTTGTTTTTTGCGACTTACCTTTTCTTCATGAATATGCATTTAAGTATCAAGATATCCTCGAGCCATGAATTTGGGCTAACAACACTTTTGTGTCTGCTGTTTGATTCCTTAACTAACTGTCCGTCTGATTGTGACCATTTTTCTTCTTGACGACTCTTTCTGTTTCTTACTTGAACAAACCAGATCAAGAAAACATCAGTTTAAAGGCAGACCTCGACATTTAGAATACCTGTTTTATGGTTTGTTAAAATGAACTTGCTTAGCACTGGGATAAGTTAGTGAGAGAGCATTTGCTGTTGCCATTTCTCCATCAGTTAAATCTTTTGATGGAGAGGGTACCTGCTCAATTTGTTGTTGTGGTTTAACCCTTGCCTACAACTAAGCACCACACAGCCTCTCACACCTTCTCCCCCCCGCCCCGGTCTGATGGGGGAGAGAATCAGAAGGGTACAAGTGAGAAAACTCAGAATGTCCCCTCTTCCTTCTTCTTCCCTCACTTTATATGCTGAGCATGATGTCATACAGTTTGGGATATCCCTTAGGTCAGCTGAGGTCACCTCTCTTGGCTGTGGTCACTGATGGAGCTGGTAGAAGAAGCAGAGAAAACCTTGGTTCTGTGCAGTAAGCACTGCTCAGCAGTAAGGAAGACGTGTCTGTATTTAATCAACACTGTTTCCAGCACAAATACAAATTATATCTCATACTACAATGCAGAAAATTAACTTCGCCCCAGCCAAATGTAGCACATTATTACAAAAGTTCCCTGATAAACTGCAACAAAATACATCTCTGGAGAGAACTATTTTAGTTCTCCAGTTTCTTGTGATGCAGCATCGTCTCTGTTGCAGTCAAGACTTAGCAATGGCTACTGTCTTAAAGGCCAGTTCTGAATGGAATCCATATACTTGCTTAAGCTATCTTGAAATTTTGTTGTGTAGGAGAGCTGGACATCCTGCAGTGAGTGTTTCAAGTTGCAACAAGATTCTGCTCTGGCCTTTCCTCTTTTCTGCATTACTTTATGAAATCAACTAGTTCTTACCTTTGTCTTTTTCCTTCTTTCTGGGTTCTGGCTCAGAGTGTCTTCATGATGTATCAGTATCTCATTTTATCTGAGTTACTGTGCAGTAATGCTGCCCTGCCCCTTTAGATAATGAGAGTATGGAGTATGAAACTTTACATTTAGGCTCTCAAGAATGGCATGTGCTGAGTCTTGTGAGTAAAGAAACTGAAGCAAATGTGTAGCAGGTCAAGAACATGAGGGTTTTTAGGCAGCTTGTTGTGTCAGTTGTAGTGTACCTCAAGGAGGTACGTGGTCTGTGGGGATTTATTGGCAAAGCTATGTTCCCAGATTCACTACTGGAGAGGCAGAAGTTGTCTTGATAGTAGAAATCAAACTAGTTTTTTAAAAATAAGCTATAACATCAAGTGGATATATGAAAAATGAATGACTGAGTGCTTTTGTTAGTAATTTTTGTGAAGCATTTAATAGCAAAATGCCAGCATCTATTAAATAGAGTTGGTACGAATTTTCATTATTTTTTTTTCTCTAGTAGGTACAAAACTGTACAGGAAACTTACTTATTCTGTGACATATCTTATTAATTTTTCTACAGGGAAATGTTCTCAGCTTATAAAAGTTGTATGGGGTTCAGACATACAAGATGAAGGTAGGCTGAGAGGAAGGAATAAGTGGAAGTATCCTGGATTGCTCAGAAGAGAGCAGAAAAAGAATAAGTAGGAGGAACTATAGAGAATGAGGAACTAGGAGGAGAAATGGGAAAATGGATGACCAGGGTAAAAAGAGTGGTAGGAGTCTGGTAGCCTCACTGTTTGATTTTTTTTTTTTATTTTCCCCTGACATATGCCCTGGAATATCAGTGAACTGTACACTCATGGATTAAATGCACCTGTTGTATAAAAGCTCTTTTGTGGTAGGACCCTGCTGAGCAGGTTGGTGGGGTCTCCTTCCTGGGCTATATTTATTGTTGTGGCAGTTTCCTGTTCTGGGATTGTTTCGTTTGGCTGAATAAGACTTTCACGTGGACACTTCTCATAACCCAGATGTGTACCCTCTTCTTCATGGCTCATCTCCAGGCTGAGGAGCATGGAGAGCCAGGAACAGACCAGAATGTTGACCAGAGAAAGAGCAGGATGTGTTCTTGCAGAAATATTCAGTGAGGGAGAGTATGATTTGGAAGAAGGACCCTTATAGAGGCAGTGTTGAATGGTAGTGAGGCTTTGGCAGAGGAATCAGAATTGCAGTGTAGCAGAGTGTCAGGACAGTGGGAAAATGTGGGCTAAGAGCTGTGTTTAAGGGAGTTGAGGGGGCCTTTCAGCTCCATCCCCTCTCCTTCCCTTAAATTTCAGTTTTATTGATTAATGTTTTATTTATACAACCTGTAACATCCACTTCATCGCTGTCTCTAACATACCTATTCTTAAATGTTTCTGTGAGGTAGGGAAGATCTATTATACCTGTTTTTACAGTTGGGGAAGTGAGATGTGGTGTTTGAATACACAAACATAACTACGAGCTACCGCAAGGTAAGATAGGGACGTAAATGTGCAGCTTCTCATCCGCTCTGTTGAAACTTCCTGGGCAGTGTTCTTGCCTGGTGGTAAGTGGAAGGCAGCTCTCTTTGCAACTCAGTTGCTTGGTGATTGTCACAGACAGTGTGGTAACAGCAGCTGGATGCAATGAATTCAGATCTTGACCTATTTTCCAGTGACTTGTTCAAGTATCTGTTTCTTAAATGAAGTACATCCTAGAAATTGGTTTTGGAGTAAGTGTAAGTCATCTTCCCTCCGTTGTCCTCTCTCTCAAAAAAAGTAACCATTACCTTCAGGCTAGTTCTTCTTCCAGTATCTCGGGTTGAATCTCCTGATCACACTGTGTTGTGAGGGGTTTTGTTTTAGGGTGGTGTTTGCTTGGCTTTTGTTTTTGGTTAGTTTTTTTTTTTTTTTTGAAGGATGTTCAGATTGTGCTGAGCAGAGAGGAAAATATAATAGACTATTTCATTTGGAAGGGACTTGCATCAATCATCTAGTCCAACTCCCTGACCACTTCAGGGCAAATTCAGAATTGGCAGAGAGCTGATATTCTGTTCTGTAGCAGTTGAAATCATTAAAAGGGTAGAATGCTAGGAAGAAGTATGCATTAAACAAGAGAAATGATACCCAAACTCGTCATCCAAAATGAAACTAAACTGTCAGGTAGACTTCCAGAGTATGGGGTCATCAGACCACTCCCCGTGGGCAGTGCTGAGATTATCAGGAAATGTGTTGTGTACCTTCTCTTTGCCTTTTTAGTGCAATAATTTTAGCTACCTGTGTTATTCTGCAAGGTAGTTGGATGCAGATCAGTCCATAATTAGGCATTCATGAAGTTTTGGGCACTTATATACTTACTAAGCAACCTTTTAGGGCTTCCCCCCTCGGCCTCCAGTTCTGTCATATTTATAAAAGAAATTTCAAAGCAATTAAGAGGCATGCAGAGAGAGGAAAAAAGTTGAGAGTGAATAGGATAATCTGAATGGTGAGAAATTAAATAACAATATATTTAGGTACCTGGGGGAGAGAATATGAGAGAGGAGTGCCATCCTTGTGCAGTAAGGAAAAAAAAGAGAGATGGAGGAGGTAAGCAGTGAAAAGATAAAGAAGCAGATGCTCAAAAAAGGTATTACAAATTAGTAGGACTAATGTGAGTATACTGACTGGAAAGCATCTGGAGAAAGGGCAAAGGACGCATTTTTATGCAAACAGTTGGTGAAAAAGTTCCAGTGTAGAATTGATGAGCAAGAAAGACATCCTCCTAGAGCCCATGATTACTTTCTTCTTTTTTGGAATGGCAGATAATAATTAGTTGTCAAGAAACCATTGATATATTTCAAATGTTGTCTGGAGCTATGTAGGTCACATAAAAAATGGATATTAAAATGCTACAGCCATTCTTTGAAGCTGCTTCTGTTACAGTCTTACCTATATGAAGTCATTTGTTTGTACTTCATCTGCTTGGTTATGTCAGTGCTTCCCTTTGTGCCTCAGCTCTGTTTCAAGATTAAGCATTTTTATGTTCTTAGCTTCCTTCTTGAGGGAGACCTTTTCTGTTCTTGTTACTGGTCCTGAGCACACAGAAAGGAAGTCTGTTTCTGTTATCTATTTAAATAGTTGCATTTTCTGTCCAGCTGATGATCTTCAAGAAATTGTTATTGAGCTTTCAAAACCCCCTAAGCTGTATATATATGTATTAATGGTACAGCAGTAGCATCAGCTACTCTGTTCTCCTGGATTTGAGGGAGTGCAAGGGTCATGGTGGAGTTTTGCTTGGGGCTTTTGTGCCATCATGGGAGTTGAGTGACTGAAAGACTCCTTTGTAGGCGGAGAAATACTGGTGGTGGTTTAGTCTGTACAGGAGCAGATGCTTTGATGTGACCTTTGCCTATGTGCCAGCTCGTGTAGTTTTCAAGGTACAGTGACTGTGAGATCTTGGTCAAAATCCTGTATTTTCCATCTCTGGAAAGAAATTACAGCAGCAGTTGGATGAGTTGTGTACATTCTGACCTCAGCTGTAGATGCACTTTACACTATGCAGACACATTTGATTTTTTCATGTGGTCTAGTGGTTTTATTTCTCCTTCTAGAGGAAATCAAGGATCATTTTAGATTTGCTTGATACTGCAGCTTTGTAGCTGCAAAACCTGTTTAACAATAACAGCCAGTATGCTCTGTGAATGTTAGTTTGAGGCTTCCTGGCTCAGGACTGACTTATGCTCAGTTCCTGTGCTGCTGGCTAGAAACTATTTTAAGTAAAGCAGAGCCCCTCTGATTTAGTCACCTCAGTGGTTTTATCTGTGTAAATGAGGTTCTGAAATGCTATGTAGGTAAGTCCTTAAGTTCATGGCAAGATTTCCCTGTTTTGTGTTCTTTTTTTTTGGGGGGGGACATTGTTGTTTGGGGGGGTTTTTATTTGTTTGTTTGTTTTTTATTCCATGCTGCTTGAGCTTCTGAACAGGTTACTTTAGTAGCAGCAGCTTCTGATTCCTGCTAAATCTCTTACTAAACCTTGCTAAAAGAATGCTTTTCTGTATGATGTTATGGGAGAAAGAAATTCGGCTTGGAAAGCCAAATGTTGCTTTAACCACAAAAGGTAGCAAAATTTGAATTTGTTGGTGGTTCTGAGAATAATTCAAGTTGCAGAAGTGAGAACACCTGTATATGCGGATATAACTCTGTATATGCGGATATAACTCCTGTATAACAGATTTGAAGATGCAAGTATGAAAGTCTTCATTTTTGAGAGAGTTAGAAAGATTTGTATCTACTAATACAAAGGGTTATGCATGACAGATGTGAACTGAAACTGTAACAGAAGTTTGAATTGGGAAGGGGAGGAAGAGCAAAATACTGTTCCTTTATGATCCATTTTCTGAAAAGCTTGACTTGATTTCTGGAGGTACTAGTTCAGTAAGGTAGCGAGTAGCAAGTACTAAGCTGCTAGTACCTGCTAGTAACTCTTTCTAGTGAATCTTTGCTTCAGTGAGCAAATCATTGCTTATATTTACCGTCTGATTAGACAGAAATATTATTGGGTGAGATTTCTTGAATGTATTAAAAAAAAACCCTAACAGAAAATGCATAGCCCTAGCACTGACTGGGATCTTAATATAGTAGCAGTTATGCAGGGCAATGAATAATCAGTTTAATAACTTTTGATTTTTCTGTAGACCGTAAATAAAGTAAAAGTGCCTACTATCTTAACACCTTAGAGCAATAGGCTTTGCAGGAAAAAGTGGTAATTGTTGTTTGTTTTCTTTTGAAGGTTTCCTTAGGTGCTTCTTTCAGCTTTGAAAAATATGAATGTAATTTAAGAATATATAAGCTGAAAATAAAACCTCTCTGTAGTTTTGTTCCTTCTGCAGTTCCCTAAGTATTTGGAGTTCAAAGTATTAACCTTTCATGACTGCTTTGATCACTGCTGCTGCTGTAGACCTGAGCTGATTGATTCAGGATATAAATATCTTATGCCAATATCACTGGTGCTGTTTTACCAGCATTGTCAGAGTTCTTATTCAAAGAAATGTGTTGCCACTTAAAATGCTTTCATACTGCAAACAAATAAAATGTAAGCTAAGCTTAAAAAGTTACACAGCAGATTGTTCTGACATCTGAGGAAGTCCGAAGTGCTGGCTTTTGGCTCAAACAGAATGGTCAAATCCTTGACTTAAAGAAAAAAATGTGTAATTTTTTAGTGAGAACTGCATATGGAACACAGGAGTTAAACACACGATTCAATTTGTAATTTTCTGGAATGTGTTTCTTTCCTTGAATCTGTTGTTCAAGTGGACAGGGAAGAGAGGAATGTCTAGCAGTAGTAGCAATCGTTGTGGTTACTTAATTACTGGAGCTTAATGCTCCTTTGTGTTACAGATGAGAATCTCTCTGCTATACTACTGTTTAAGAGAAAGTGAAAAATCAACAAGACTCGATCTGCTAGATCGAACATTTTGATGTAGTTGCTAAATTTGAATACATCAACTTTACACTGCTGTTACACATACGAAATTTGAGTGCTGGATATTTGCAGTATATTTTAACGTGCCCTTTATTATCTCTAATCTTTTTTTATTCTCTCTCATTATTAGCGTACATAATTTCTTTTTTTTTTTTACCCTCAGTGTCTTAAAATATATAAGGTAAATTTCAGCCTTACTTCAGGCTTTGCATGAAAAGATTAGCTGATTCCAGCCCAAATTCTCCAGTCACACTGAACACTAAGACTGTCTGAAGTCATGGCAGTAGCTCTGAAGAATGTTCATGGTGGGAATTCTGTATGCTAATGTACAATGTCTGGATCTGTTAACGGTATTCAACCTTGAGGTGAAAGGAGAGAGCATTGTGAGTCTTTAAAAACATGTATGAACAGTGTTCAGAATTAGAAGAATATTCAGAATTATTTCAAGTATAGTCCAAAAACGGCATTTTCTTGCATTGTGGAGCACAGCTCTACATACATTAGAAAAATACACAATTTTCATTCAGTTTACTGATGGCCCTTGTTTGTTCTTGCTTTTTTTGTTCCCCCAACCTGTCTCAAACAAATACTGGCAGCAACAAACAGGAAGAGTGTTAGAAATATTTTAGCTATTGGGCATGTCCTAATTTTTTTTTATGCTCTTAATGAATAGGGCGTAAGACCTCCTGCAATTCAACCAGTGTTAAATAGGCCACTTTTTTTTATATTAGAAAAATCTTGTTTGTGCAAACAGATTAATTAAATCTGAAAAGCTTTTTATTTTAAGTAGACTTCAGCAACGGAACTTGGCAATCTGTTTGGAAAGAAAAGTTAAATGATTTAACATGTGCTTAGGCTGTGCGTTTAGATGGCTGCTTCTGGACCTAGTGTGGTGTCTACCAAATTTAATTTTAGTTAACGATAACAGTATTTCTTGTTCTGTGCTGAATTTTAAAATGTCATTTTGTTGCTAGGATGCCGGGGGAAGTCATCACAAAGTCTCTGTTTCTCCTGTCGTCCATGTCCGAGGGCTGTGTGAATCAGTTGTGGAAGCGGATCTCGTGGAAGCTCTTGAAAAGTTTGGAACCATATGGTATGTCTTTGTGATGATTTGTTTAGAAAAAAACATTTCTAAACAATGAAAGTGTGACCGTTGTGGGGCTTGGGAGTTGTTTTGAGTAGGCATGTAGGGAAACTTACTGTGATGTTTCTCTCACCAGCTATGTCATGATGATGCCATTTAAACGCCAGGCTCTGGTGGAGTTTGAAAACGTAGAAAGTGCAAAGAAATGTGTAACATTTGCAGCAGATGAACCTGTGTATATTGCTGGGCAGCAGGCCTTCTTCAACTACTCCACAAGTAAGAGGATTACTCGTCCAGGGAACACTGATGACCCATCTGGTGGAAATAAAGTTCTCCTGTTGTCAATTCAGAATCCTCTCTACCCAATTACAGTGGTATGCTTCTTCTTTTATTTGATGTTTTTTAATAAAATAATACAAAGCAGAGAGCAGCAATCTCTGTTATATTATTTTCATTGTGTATTATCTGTTAATTTGAGTCAGAAATTAACTTCACCTACCAAAGCTTTATACCATCTTCACATAGGTAATGTGAATGTTTTAAAAGGAAGGTTTTTTGAGATGATTCAGTCTTGTATGGATATTTCACAATACATTTGAAGACTTCTGAGGTCAGGATTTTGAAATGTTTTAAGTTGCTGCATGCTTCTGAAATACTTCCAAATGTGTTGCCACAACATCAAGATTGTTCTTTAGCCTTTAGGCTCTGAGTAGTGTATGTTTAAAGAGCAAGTAATTTTTCCAGCAAGAAGGGTTATTTTATTGCAGTCCTTCTTGAGTATTTCCTTTGTGGAAACTTGAAACCTTCATCTATTGATGATCAACTCCAGTTTGATGGAAGCTTCCTATTTTTATTTGGACCAATACATTTTCCTTTTCAGTATTTCAAGTCATACCATATATACAGTTGCATCCAGTTTATTGCCATTTATTTATGGCACACGTACATGGATTTTTTTAAGATACAGATTTTTTTTTTGCTAGTATTTAAGAGTGTATGTTGTATCATGCATTGAATGCTTATATTTTTCATAGAGATTTTATAGTACATGTTGAATTGCACAGAAATGTCTCAGGAAGAAATTAGAAATTGTGTTCTATGATACAAGCATGAATTACTTAGGGAAGTATGTAGGACAGTATGGATCAAAGTGTTTGGGTTGTGTGGAACCATGTAACTTAATGCAAGTATTAAGTTTTGTTTAATGTGCTGTATATTATGCCAGCAAATTGATTGCAACTTAGTATTCCTGAAATTACCTCAAGTAGTCAGTTACATGTCGTGCTTTGTGCTTCAGTGTTTCGTGAATATTGATAGGTTTTTGCCTGTTGATTCATTAGTGGATGATGAATTTTCTTCTGCCAGTTTTCTTTGTAGAAAAGCATGTCAAGGTATGAGTTGCTTTTTAGTGTTTAAAAACGAACCTGCTGGGAGCTGTGTCAACAAATCCACTAAGTTAAAATGTTCTTTGCACGTGACTGTGATCAAATTTTGGAAACTCTGTTTCACTCATGCATTTTAAATTTGCCTTGCATAAGCGACTGAGTTGAACGTAGATGCTTGAAGGCACTGGTGGCAGCAGCGTGGTTCTGGGCTAGGAGACTTCATGGAAATTCTGAGGATGAAGCCTCGAGCAGAGTAGCTCCTTTTTAAAAACAAACACTGCCTCCCAACCTCTTCCTTCCCACTGCACCCAGCTGTTTGCTTATCATATACCAATGAGTGCTAGAAGCAGGCAAATTTCCAGAATTACTGGCAAGCATCAGAGCTCATTGAAGACAGTGTAGTCTAGCAGGGTCACAGGAGCTGGGAAAGAGCAGCTGTACCTGTAACAGCTTAAGAATGTGACGAGAAAAACACAAATTTTGGACTTGGCCAATGGGCCAAAATTATGAAAGAAAGTCGTCTGCCTGAAAATTAATGTCACTTGGGGCTGGAAAGTTTCTGGGAATCTTTTCTCCCAAACAAGAGGAGATGGAGGGCAGCCGTTTGTGCTGTGGAGCGTGCATAGAAAATATACCTATAAATGATCTCACAGATCCTACTGTTTATGGGTTCAGGATGCTTGAATTCTTTCCAAAAATGTCCGTCCATTTTCTAAAAATCTTAAGGTTGACAATCTCCTCTGTTTGCTTCATTTAGCTATGCAAAACACTCCACCAGAGTGTCTGGAGCAAGGCCCCTGAGTATGGCCAATGTTTTTGGTTTGTTGTGTGTGTTGGGGTTGGTTTGTTTTTATTTAGAGATAATATATTAAAGCTTATGGTACTTTATAAGAGCCAGAAGTTACACCACTGCAGCTCTAGCCAGCAATAATACGTATTCTTTTTCTAGTTTCTCCTTGTGTGCGTGGGGGGGTACGTGGGCTGTGTTTGTTTTAGTTTTAAGAAATCCAGCATGTCCCCTGCCCCTGTGCCTCCCAGTTGCTCCTCTATTCTGCAAAACATAATAATAAGTACTATACCTACTTGCTTCCCCCTTCTCCCTCATGTCAGCCAAATAAACCTGAGGATATACCCCAAGATCCTGGAATGAGCATTTCGGAGGTATTTGGTTTAGATATAAAGAAAAGAAAGAAAAAATGGATTGCAGTAGAGTGTTTCACCAAGGTATTAGTGCCTTTGCCTGCTAGGTGTAGTTATGAAACTGGCTGTCCAGTAAAGCTTATGTGCTTTCAGCTGTTTGAATATGGTCTAATGGGTGAATTGTTTTCAGAAATCACAGTTCCTGTTTGTTTGGGTTCTCAAGCCTGAATCCTGGGAATTCTGAGTTTGGGTGTATAATCACTCTAAAATAAACTTATTTTTCTTGGCGAGATGAATGCTGGAGACTGGTTTCTGTTACGTGTAATCGACTGTAGTTTGAGTTACTCCCAGCACCACATCCTGGGCTGGCCTGATGTGCAGTAAGGCGAGCTTTACCCCTTACTGTTTGGTTCCCCTGCAGCACTGAGGATGGTCTTGAATTTTATTGGTTCCTTGTAATACAGACAAATGCTGCTGAAAGCAGAGCGTTAACAATGGGTTTGCATGAATCCAGTCATGAATTCGCTTTCCTGTCAGAAGTTTTTCTGCCTTAAGTGAAGAAACATAGCACCTGGACACTTGGACTGTCTTTGATTCAGGTGAAAACGATTGAAATTCTCTTTTTGATAAGCTACCCAAGTTTACATCTTGGACTATCCCCAGTTACTCTCTGAAAATGAACATGAACTCAGCTGCTAGAGTCTCATGAAATGAAATGTGCTGTAACTACAGTGCCACTTTGTTTCTCTTTGCTTTGGTAGACCAGCTGCAGTGCAGGCTTCAAAGGTAGCAGAGCTTGAGACATGGATGCAATTACTGGGTCTTAACGCAGTTGAAGATACTTGTTAAACTAATGTTTGCATGAGTACTTCATATAGGAGTTTTTTTCTTGGTTTTCAGATTTGATTGCCTGTATTACATTAATCCATAAAAAATGCTAATCATGAATGTAAAAATTGTATAGAGGAAAATAAGAAATGAAAAGTTAACAAGCCTTTTCTTTGCTCTTTGGCATTTAAATGCCAATGTTCTGTGGACCAAAAGTATTTGGAATTTCACATCTGACTAAAATATTTTTTTCTATTTCCTTAGGATGTTTTGTATACAGTGTGCAACCCTGTTGGAAAGGTTCAGCGCATTGTTATATTCAAGAGAAATGGAATACAAGCCATGGTTGAATATCCTTTTTGAGTGCAATTTTTTTTTCTATAGGTTCTTGGTTCCAGATGGGTTTAACGTGAGAATGTCAGAAAAATACCATGTAATTTTGAGACCAAATTATTTTTTAATTTCTGTCTAAGATGTGGTAATTTCTAATTTCTGTATGTCTGTAAAACAAGGTAGCACTTACACATGTCATCTTTGTGGGAAAATGGCATTGTCAATCGTGGTCTTGATAGCCGTGTTTATAGCCCCTAAGGCTAATAATTGCAGACATAAAATATGTCATAGATTTGACAACCCCTTGTACATAAAAGTTTCATGGCTTCTACCTGTGTTGATACTCAAGAAGTGGGTAAGGGATTGCAGGGATGCAATTTGACTTCAGACTCTTCTAAATTAGTTCCAGCATGTACTGCTTGTCTTACTATTCTGACTTCAGTAAAGCACAAGACCAATTTAGGCCTCCTTTACCCCGTTCATCAGGTATTGAAGAAGTTCCCTGCTCTGTTATCCTGCTCTTTACTCTGTGGCATTAAGTTGTACGTGGGTTGAGTTGAATGTTCAGGGTTGTGTGTTACTGGCGTTCGCAAAGTCTAAAGTCTGATATGATTATATGCCTTCACTTATAAAACTCTGATAGCCATCTTTTTAAAGGCTGATTACTCTCCATTTTTGAGCTGTTATCTGGAGAAAATTTACCAAAATCTCAGGCATTCCTTTGTGATTTCAGATGCTACTAATTGGGCAAGCTTTATTAGTGAGTCCCTTTTGTAAAACAGGACTTAACCAGTGGCTGCATTGGTGATTTCCCAGGCAAAGACAGCTACCCAACTTCCATAAAAGCAAACTAATTGCTATTTATGTAGAAGACTTAAACAAACTATGTGTCCTAACAGATAGTAGTTTGACTTACTGTATTTGTTAAGTTTGTGGTAAGTGGTGTTGTCTGGATCAGATGACTTGTACAGTCAGGGGTTATTCTGTGTCTTGTGAAAGATTAGGGAAGTTGTGTGCAGGATCCTCCCCACACTTGGAAACTGTCATACTTATGTCCTTTGAATTAAATTCTGTAACGTGCCTTTTATTAAAAACAAAAACAGCCAGCAGTTGAAAGAAAACTCACAAATACAAGTGAGTAATACAGCAGCATTACAAAAGTAAACAGTTGGGGGGAGGAGGAAAGTGAGCTGCAAGACAAACCTTATCTGAAAAGTTAAAAAATTTACTAAAAATTAAATGCTAATTGCAGTACCCATTACTTTTGCAAATGTGCTCCCACAGTTCTAGCCAGTGTCACTTCCTTATAGGTCTGGGAAGCTTCGCTTTTCTCACTTTTAAATTTCACAGTGAACCTGCATCACCTTGGAAGAAGTTGGGCCGCAGGAATGTGGTAAAACTCAAGGCATATGCTACTGTTACAGACTACTTCCAAAACTTCACTAAATGATATCAAAGCATAGTGCAAAAGGTCTGTTCTGCTGCAAATTTCAGGCTTTCTGACACCATATGTTATTGAGTGTGTATGAGATCATGGGTTGTGATGTGCCAAGGCTCAGGTACATTTTTCTGCTAATCATAGAACTAATCTTGGAGTACATAGAGCATATGAAATAACTTACGGGTTGGAGCCTGGTACATGCATCTACCTGATGTATTTCTTTTGGTGCAAAATGATGATTTCTTCATTCAAAGTTCTCTTAGTTACGTGGTTTTATTTGGCTAACAAGCTAAAAGGATGTACACTTTCTTAGTTCGTTTTGCTGTAAAGTAACTACTCTGAGTTCATGTTCTCCCTACCCACAAGTCTCTAGCCAATGCTGTGAGAAGGGAAGCGTCTTAAATCACACCTTCTCACACCAGAACTCTGACTCCTTCCCGAATGATGCAGCTTGAACTTTCCCATCAAATATTCTCTAGACTTGCTGGTAACTCTCCGTGTCTTCTGATGAAAATTACTAACTGCACCAGAATCCCCTTCTAAATGGGATAAGATCAGAGCATAAACAAAGCTTTCATCCATATAATCCACTGAGGAATTTACTAATTTATGAATGGTGTCATCGTGTGCTGAGCACATCTTTTCACATAAGTTGAACCCAAATGTACTTTTTGGTCATTTTTTATAAGTCTGTATGGAGTTCCTGTAGTGTATACGAAAGTGAAATATCTGCAGGCTACAAAAATAAAGCCGTATCGGATAAAAGGGACATGATTGAGACACCTGAGGGAAAAAAATCCTTAACATGATGTGTATGTTTGAATCAGTGTTTTGTGCCCAGAAGGCGAAGGCTGCACTCAATGGAGCAGATATCTATGCAGGATGCTGCACACTAAAAATTGAATATGCAAGGGTAATGCTTGGACCTTTTCTTTTAATTTTACTAGAAAAATATATATAGTCAAGACTTAACCTTTTTCACTCTTACTTTATTTGAACAGCCAACTCGACTTAATGTCATTAGAAACGACAACGATAGTTGGGACTACACTAAGCCATATCTGGGCCGACGAGGTAGGTTTTCATACGTTATCCCTGTAGATGTTTGACTGTACTAATGACAATCCTTCACACGTGGTCAGGCTGTATGGCAATAGTCATTCCAAAGCAGGCCAGTGCTGCTGAAGGCTGTGTCACCAGCCAGGGAATTAACCCTGAGCCCTAGTGCCCCCTACTGCCGTGTGCTTGAGCCACTTAGTTCAACAAGGAGCCCACACCTGCAAGCACCTTCGCAGTTCTCAAGGACTTGCATTTCTCCAAGCAGCTCTCTCTCTTTGGAGGAGAGGAAACCTGGCACAGACTATTCCTTATAAACTACAAACTTGCACACTGCTTCTCCTTCGAAAGGACTCTTTTCCCCTATGTTGGACAAGGCATTAAGAAGGATAGAGGACTTCAGCAGGCTGACTCTACACTTCATCATGCACCACATCGGCATCAGCAAAAAAAACCCCAAACAAACAAACCCTCTGAAAAAAACTCAAACTTGCAGTTCACCTTGTCTGCATACTGCATGCACCACCACCACAAGTTTTTAAAGGAGGACATTTTCAGTACTTCAGATTTGTATGGGATGAATAACATGATAGACTGTACCCATTCTGTTAAAGCTTGTATGTATGCTGGTCTTATTTCCCTTAAAATTACCACTGAAAAATTGAGAACATCCAAAATTAAGAAACTCTTGTTGATATCATTGACATTGTAATCTTTTTATTACTTGCTGTATGTGAGAGTTGCATTCAGACCTAACAGTGTAAATATTGTCTAGTAGTAGGGAAATTTAATTCTTATATGTAGATAGTTGGAACTGAGCAGTGCAATATCATTAGCCCCCCCTCAGCTATACAAAAGTAATAAAGCAGGGAGATTCATAATTGGTACTGTCTCTTAAGTACTCAGCTGTAAAAGTTACCAGAGCTTAATTCATGTCAGTGGAATCTATGATTATATATGTACAGTCAAACTGCTGTGTAGCCTGACTCCTGTAAAGTGTTTATTTTAAAAAAGAAAACAAAAATCTGTAACTATTGAGTGCAGTGTTCAGTTATCTATGTACAATAATGTGTTCAATGTAAAGTTAGAAAAGTGAAGATAATGTGACCAAGATAGAGTATCTACTTACCAAAGGCTATATGAGAACCAGGGCTTCGCTGTCTCAAGAGATATGCACTTTCAAAGTAACTCTGCAGAGACGCTGGGCTTGTAAAACTGTTGTACAACTAAAAACTTAGGGCTCGGATTTTCAAAATGAAGTTCTTGTAAAAAGTTAACAAGGGAGCTACAGTATTGGCTGCAGCTTGTAGATTATGACTATTTGTATTGGGATTCAATTTTTTTTCTCAAATTCTTGAGTTAAAAATAAAGGGATTCTGAAGAAACTCAAAACTCAAGGGCAAGAAAAAAAATCTGAAAAATTTGAAGGATTAATTTGACCCTCATATCTTTTGCTTATTGCAGTGTTTGGAGACTGACTTGTAAGATTGTCCATCTAATTACATTATGTAATTGGTCTGCAGATAAGTATGGCTGTATGAACTTAAGGTTCCCCCAAATAGAGCAAACAGTGGAAAATGAAAAACTTAGTATAGGAATGGCTTGCTCTTTCTCAAGAACTCTCATTCTACTCTTTTCCTTTTGTTACTGTCTTTATTCTCTATACATCACCCTGCTACACATAAGAGGAAAAAAATTAGCCTTATATATATCTCATTATATATTGTATATAGCATGATTTTTCATTTACTGTGGTTCACATCCACTTATCTAGAAAATGGGAATATAAATTGTTGAATGAACACTGAAATGTACTTGAGAAAGCAGACATCTAGAGCAATTTTAGTAATTCAGGAGTTGGGGTTTTCATTGAGAGAGAGATAGAGAGTGTTTTTGTATCTGTGCTTCAAATTACTCTTGCAACATCATTGTTTGGGTTTTGAACTTCACCTGTCCCAAACTGTAGGGCTCTCACTGCAGGAAGATCTTAGCCCAAAGGAATTTCATTCCAGGGACAGACATGCTGATAAATCCTTTCAGATTTTCACATCTCCCTTTCAAATGTTAGGAAGGAAATGCATTTTGCTAATGACTTCCTTTTTTTTTTTTTTATAAGAACTGGTTTTAGTGCTTTATGGTAACAAATTACAGACTTGCACATAATATTTCTCCACTGAAGTAAAATTCCTTACAAGTGCCTGCTGCTATGAACCCATGTTGCATTAGATTTAACCAAAACCACACCTGACTTAGTATTCTACTTGCCTTTAGTCAGAATGTTCAAACTATAATTTGGAGCATTTCTTTTGGTGGTAATACCAGCACAGTCAGTGACTCAAGGACCTGATTTAAAAACAAACCCAAAAATCAACAAAACCAAACTTAAACAAGATTATAAAGAACCTTTCCTTTCAGAATTATTTTTAACACAGAATCAGTTCTTATGTATGTTTCTGTGTTTGTTTACACAAGTATTTGTACTGGCAAAATCAAGGGACTTTGTTCAAGGAAGGGAGGAACAAGTGTAGGGCAAGGAGAGAGCAGTGGAGTACACTACTACAAGGAGGAAATATTTGTCAGACTGTTCTCCCAGAATTCTTTATTTGAAAAATGTGATCCTTTACTGGATTTTACTGGGGGCAGTTTCAAAGGATTTAGCTCCACAGACTGGAATTACAGAACTGATTTTTCTGAAAGATGATTACTGCATACAGTTTAAATGCTCAAAATATGACACCCCTTTGCTTTCTAGAGCCACGAACCAGAGCTGTTACCCTGAAAAGGGAATGGAAAAGCAAAACTTGACAACAGTAGTCTCTCTTCTATATAGTTGAAAGTGTTCAGGACTGTTCTCTCTTCAGTCTTTTTTATCAAAGTAAATATCTGACTTGGAACCTGTCCTCAAAATCCTGAGCAGAAAGGGCACATGTGTTTTCATCTCCCACTGTTGTATAATGCGGATAGTTCCTGTTTTTCAGGGGAAATACCTCCAACTGCATTGGACTGGATTTACTATTTTCAGCAGTCATACTTAAATTTCCTGGTAACTGTTGTAGACTGATAAATGTCTTGCCCCATCTTTTCAATGTGGCTTTTTTAATTGTACGAAAACAATCGTTGCTTACCACAAAGAAGTCTGGAAGTTTAGATTTTCTTTGTTGTGCAGCATGGATCTTATTAGAAAATACAGCTTTGGCTGTGATGCATTGGTTTCCTCCATAAATGTAGATCCCTTGCTTAACTTTATGTCCTAGAGAACTGGGTTTTCTTAAAGGATTGACTGTTTAAGTGCATTATTCAGTGATATTTTTCTTCAATTAAACTGTTACGTGCTGCTGATAATGCCATAATGTACAATCCTTTCAGCACGCCCATAAATCAGTAGGTGTTCTGTAAATATATATGTACACATATGTAATGCTCTCTGTTTACTGATTATGAAACCATGTAATACAGGTTGTTGTTGGCTTATGCTGAAACTTCTTGAAAGAAGCCCACTTTGAAAATGTGTTGCTGTTGAAGCTAATATTATGATTCAGGTACTGTCTTTCAAAAGTACTGCATTTCAAATTTGTTTTAAGAGACACATAGGTAAATTCTGCTGTATGGTGTTTTCTATACTAATGTGTGGTGTCTGTTTAGGAAAACTATTGGGTATTTCCATAAACTTTAAATGTCTGCATCTCCTCATTGGCCACTGCCCCCAGTCAACTTAAGTGCAATTTTGTTATACAAATGGCAGTCTTTTAATTTTGGTGTCCCAGGGCTACAGCTTGTGGTTTTAGACATACAGTGAATGAGAAATCATTTATAAAATTAACAAGGACTCAAATTACTGTTTTGCTTCTTAACTAGAAGCTTTGTGTCTTAACTGGAGAAGTCAAGTGCGTAGTTGTGATTACTAAACTGTTTTCTTTCCCTTCCCACATGTTAGACAGAGGGAAGGGCCGGCAGAGGCAAGCTATTTTGGGAGAGCACCCATCATCCTTTAGACATGATGGTTATGGTAAGTGACATAAGATGAAAGGTGGTTATGATTTCTTTACATGTTGTGTGGAATTCTAAATATTCAATCAATGCTTGAAGGTGGATCCCCTCAGCATGAGCAGTTCACCTGCGGTGCTGTCAGTCCTACGTCCTGAAAACACTGTTGGTTCACTGAAACCCATGTACATTCATTGCCTTTCCTCTTCCTTTCGTAGATAGCATCCAGCTCTACGTATTTATTGCTTGGAAGAATGTTTCCTTTCAGTTGCCATCAGCCTAGCAATGGATAGAAAATGACAAATGTATTGGGAGAGCAGTTTCCTTGTAGAAAACAGCAACATAGCTTGATCGATGGTTTGATGCAACACAGAGCTCTGATGCTCTTGCATGCAAAGCTATGAATTGCAGGTGCTGTGTTTCTTCTAATTCAGCTAATTCTGAAAAGGTATAGCTGTGTGACTGTATAGGAATGATGGTCTGGAATTACTGCTGCAGTTGTTACCAGTGCTTTCTGTAGATGAAGGTCTGTCTGGACCAAGACCTCAGGATTGAGAAACAAATGTCCCCACCTAGACATAACTTTTCTAGTTATTTTCTCTCAGCTGTCAGATGCAATGTGATGTGTCTTACCTCTTTCTTTGCAAAGGTGTTTATGATATTTTACAATGTAGGTTGACATCCTATCTACTCTTTCTAAAAGGTTCTTCAAATCTCCAGATTTTCCAAGTTCCACCTTGATTCAGTGATGTTCTTTTTTCATTCTTCTGATATATCCTTTTGCCTTAAGTAATGTGTCTGTCTCCTCCTATATCACTGTCTCCTTGTCAGTACTGCTTTTTGCTGGGCAAAAAAGGACAAAAGGTTCCTTTTATACTTAGCTTATGTGAATTTCACATTATTTTTGTCTCAGAAAAGCAGGGATCCTCCTCTTGGTCTGTAATTCCAATGTTTTCTGTAAATAGAGGTATTGCTTACTAGTAGTGTCTCATCATTTAAACAAAAAAAAGAAATTGTCTCTTTCAGTGAAACTTGTCACTTTACCTGTAGTGGAAAACTGGACTGCTTCATTTTGCATTAATGTAGGGGTTTAAGTATTCCTGTTTCTTCCGAATGAGCATTTTGTAGGAAGGCAGTCTTCTGACTTAATCTCATGTCTCTGGAAAAAAGAGCTGTGTCATCTCTCCTGATCTCTGGCTAAAAGTTCACTCCTTTTCGTTCGTTTTCCCTGCTCTGTAATATTCTTTCTTGGTGCCATGTAGCTCTATAAGTAGACATGGGAATATTTCTGAAGATTGATTTTAAATATTTCTTCCAATATGTTTATGTTCAAATATTTTGTATGGTGCAGGGAAGATACTATTTTTGTAATTACTGAAATACCTGTTTTTGCTTGCATATATCTTACCTGGTAGTGTAAGAAGAGACTTGGAACATTAAATTGAATAGAAGAGGGTTTCTTTGTTTGGTGGTTTGGGTTTTTTTTGTTGTTGTTATTGTTTTTGCTTTGTTTTGTTGTCTTTAAAAGGGAAAAAGCATTAATGGCAACTACTGTAACCTTCGACATCTCCTTTAAATATGGATTATGTATGTGGGCTTAAATGCCTGATTAAGTAGCGAAACTTATTTCAAACAATATGAAAACATGGTCTTTCATCTCCTTAGGATCACATGGTCCTTTGTTGCCCTTGCCAAGCCGGTACCGAATGGGATCTCGGGACACTCCAGAACTTGTTGCTTATCCATTGCCCCAGGCATCCTCTTCTTACATGCATGGTGGAAATCCTTCTGGGTCGGTTGTCATGGTCAGTGGGTTGCATCAGCTCAAGATGAACTGTTCAAGGGTATTCAACCTGTTCTGCTTGTATGGAAACATTGAGAAGGTAAGGCATCATTTATTAGAAACTTGGAAACTACTACTTTTAAATGCTTTGGAAAAACCTGTCTGAGATGGTCTAAAAATATTACCTACTAATTTATAAAACTATTGGTTGGGCTGTTTGTTGCAATGTTATTTTTTTTACCTTATCTATCTCAGGTGAAATTTATGAAGACTATTCCAGGCACAGCACTGGTGGAAATGGGTGATGAGTATGCTGTAGAAAGAGCAGTCACACATCTCAATAACGTCAAGTTGTTTGGAAAGAGACTTAATGTCTGGTAAATATGTTTTATCAGATTAATAGTCTACTAGTGAGCAGATGGAATGAGATTTCAGACAGTATCTCATTATTCTGTTGTCATTGTTGGAGTTATGATTTCCAATTTTCAGCTGTTTGTTTTGGCTTTCAGCTGAAGGAAGGTGAATTTAGATTCGATGTTAGGAAGAAATTCTTTACTGAGGGGGTAGTGAGGCCCTGGCACAGGTTGCCTGGAGCAGCTGTGGATGCCCCATCCCTAGAAGTGTTCGAGGCCAGGTGGGATGGGGCTTTGAGCTTGTGGGCTCTGGTCTTGTGGGCTCTGGTCTTGTGGAAGGTGTCCCTGCCTATGGCATGGGGGTTGGAACTAGATTGTCTTTAAGGTCCCTTCCAACCTCAACCATTCTGAGATTGATTTATCACAATTTATAATTTTATTTATTTACATTAATAATGCATATTGGCATTACATGGATTGGCCTTTAGTAAACTGTATTCCCTAATGTGTCTTATCCATCTTTTCTGCATTTTTTAAGCAAGGTGTCAAATCCAACACATCTTGTTCTTACTGTATTTCAAATTGTTACAAAGAAATGTCAACTCTGTTCCAGTTAGATCAATAATCTGCAATTATTTAAGAATCTTAATTATTTAAGAAACTTTATCTATTTCTATCTATCCCTAAATTCCAGTGTTTCCAAGCAGCATTCAGTAGTTCCAAGCCAGATATTTGAACTAGAGGATGGCACGAGTAGTTACAAGGATTTTGCAATGAGTAAGAACAATCGCTTCACCAGTGCTGGCCAGGCATCTAAGAACATCATCCAACCACCCTCCTGTGTGCTGCATTATTATAATGTTCCCCTGTGTGTAACTGAAGAAACATTTGTAAAGGTAGGCAACTGGAATGATTGGCATACAGTGCTTTTGGGCTCTATCCCAGCTTTACATGGTGCTACTTTTAAAAAGAAATAACTGGGGTGGTTATAGCATAGCCACTGGAGGAGAATCTGTTCTTTAAAATACATTTGTAGCCCCTCTCTATAGAAGATGTGGGGTCCCCTGGTGGTCTAGTGGTTAGGGTGCAGGACTCTCACCGCTGCGACCCGGGTTCGATTCCCGGCCCCCCGGGCAGATGGAGCTCGTTAGCCCTGTGAGGCAATCCATCTAAGAGAAGGTCACTCTAAACAAACCTACGTTCTGAGACCCTCACTGCCACTGTCCGAGTTTCACTCGGCCCCGGCAGATGAACCTCAGGATTAAAGGGTGGGCTCAGTTCAGCACACGCTGTGTCTCACCTAAAAAATCCACTGCGCAGGCTCGAAGGGTTAATGACCTTTCCCAAATCTTCGCTCGCGAAGTCTGGCCATACATACAAAACTATAGAAGATGCGATATTTTCACAATGCTGGAGTTACTCTTTCAATTTTATTTATTTTTTAATTTATTTTTTTTAATGTGAGAAACAAAATCCTGGAAATAAAGTTGAAGAGCTTAATGTGGGGGGTTTTTTTGTGGAGGAAAGGGAAGAGACACACAAAACCAAATACATGAAAGTTAGGACTACAATTCACAAAAGATTTACTGATTCCCTGAGATGGTTACTGTAACGACTGCTAGGATGTTTTGGAATGGAGAGAAGAATGCACCTGGAACACTTTGCACAGTTGAGTCCTAAATGAATTCTGGATGCTTATAACATGCAATACTGGGCCTCTTAGCTGGAGGCAGTGGTAAAATTGCTGACAGTTCAGTGAGTTCTTTTTCAGTTCAATAAAAATATTTTTTTTCCTGACTCTGTCTGAAAGTTAACTCTGGGTCACAAGTGGTGTCCTTGTGTGTACAACGTCTGAGCTACTGTATTGAAGTAGGAATGTCAAAAATTAGAACTTACTATTTAAATATGTTCTTTGAGATAGTAGTGATATCACAGATATAGGAGCCTTGTTTTGTGTACTAAAGAATGGTATTCTAAAGAATAATTTAAATAAGAATAATCTAAACATTTTTAAAATAATAATTTGCCGTAAATTCTAAACTCTTTGAAAGAGTCAGTATTTTTGGTTTGTGTGTCTCTTCTAGGAACTTGAAATTTTTGCTAATGTATTTATATGCATTTTTAATGGAGTTTTATGTCTTATTTTATTTTTGTGACAGTTATGTGAGGATCATGAAGTTCTCAGCTTTATTAAATACAAAGTGTTTGATCCAAAACGTAAGTAAAATTTGACCTGTTTGGGGAATTATTTGAATTCCAATTTTGATCTGAACATATGCTACCAGGAGATGTTACTGATCCCGTATTTCCCTTTTTTATTTTTCATTTGGACAGCTTCTGCCAAAACATTGTCTGGTCTGTTGGAATGGGAATGTAAGACAGATGCAGTGGAAGCTCTCACTGTGCTTAATCACTACCAGATAAGAGTCCCAAGTAAGTAAATTTTCCTATTCTTACTGCTAGAAATTTTTTTCTGTGGAGAAGGACTTGGTGGATGAAAAGCTGGACATGACCCAGCAATGTGCACTCACAGTCCAGAAAGCCAACGACACCCTGGGCTTCATCAAAAGCAATGTGTCCAGCAGGTCGAGGGGAGGTCATTCTGCCCCTCTGCTCTGCTCTGGTGAGACCCCACCTGGAGTGCTGCACCCAGCTGTGGAGTCCTTGCACAGGAAGGATTTGTTGGAGCAAAACCAGAGGAGGGACACAAAGATGATTAGATGGCTGGATCACCTCTCCTCTGAGGAAAGACTGAGACAATAAGGATTGTTCAGCCTGGGGAAGAGGAGGCTCTGAGGTGCCCCTATTGCAGCCTTTCAGTACCTTGAAGGGGACCTATAAAAAAAGAGAGAGCAAGCGACTTTTGACATGGGCAAATAGTGATAGGACAAGGGGTAATGGTTTTAAACTAAAAGAGGAGAGATTTAAAGTTTAGATGTTAAGAAGATACTCTTGACTGTGAGGATGGTGAAGCACTGAACATGTTGCTCAGAGAAGTTGTGGATGCTCTGTCCCTGGCAGTGTTCAAGGCCAACATAATCTAGTGTGTGACATCCCTGCCCATGGCAAGGGGTGAACTAGATGATCTTTAAGGACCCTTCCAACTCAAATCATTATATGATTCTATGATTCTTTCACAGTAAATACAGAAAAATCTTGAATGTCTTGGGTAGAAGATTCTTTAAGTTACTCAGTTTATTACTCTGAATTTACTGCTTCTGTACTGGGTTCTCTTTGAAACTAGAAACTGTGAGGCCCAGCTGAATTTAGCTCCAAACTAGGAAGAATAGAGCAGGGGGAGTTCACCTGCTGAACAAATACACAGTAGGCCAGGTCTGCACTGGACAATTAAGATAGTTTACTGGATTAAATGGAATTTTTCCAGGTGTTCACAGACAAAACATTGAATCCAGCCAGTGTCTAATACTATTCTAAACTACCTTCTCCAAAGTACTATGAGTTTTTCTCCCTGTGAAGTATTAACAGTTTAATCTTTCCTATTCTCCCACATTTTTGGTCCACCATCTTAATAATAGACTGAGATTACTTTGGGGCAGAATATTTTCGAAGATATTATTGATAACATACTGTTCACAATTTCAGTTTTATCTCAGTTTGAAGAGGTGGTAACAGCAAAAGATCTTTCTCTTTCAACAAGAAAAAGGGAAACCTTAATGCATAATCCAAGATACAGCTATCACAAGGAAAAGCAGTTTTAAACCAAGAACTGCTGGTCCAGACTTGCTGTAATAAGATGGCTGAACCAGGAGGGCTTAGCTTCCACTATCCGAGAGGCAGATGTGTGCTGCCATCTGTGGATCTTGACACCTTTTTCAAATGAGAGGAGTTGTTTTATGCTTTGCTTTCTGGAGAGGCCTGAAGGGTGTGCTGGACATCCTGCTGTTCTTTTCTCAGTCAAACACATGTAAACACTGTCCAGTGCCACTCTGGTAGAGCTCTGCCTCATTTTAAGTCTTGACTTCCTTAAATATCTGTGCCTTTTGTCTTAGAACTCTTTTGCCTATTGAATACTACTTTTATAAATAGTTCAGCCAGGAGGAGGGGCAGGGATAATGGTAAATTCTTTCTTGTATATTGATATGTACAGCATTTGGAGTTTGATGTATATTACCTTGCAGCCAGACCCATCACTTCGTTTTTATGTCTAAAAATGCTGGTAGAGTATCAGTAACACCTACTAACAGGTCACCTGGTGTCTGTGGGACACTGGTGGGGGTAGGCAGGGAGGTGTGAGTCTTAAATATACAGAGTTGGTGAACTCGTCAGGTTATGGCAGGTGATGTTGATCAGCAGGAGAGCTGGGCTCCGCAAGATGCCCACAGTCTGTTCTGTGTTGTCTCCTCACAGATGGCTCCAACCCGTATACCTTGAAGCTTTGCTTCTCTACTTCATCCCATTTATAGAGAAGAGGACAGCATGTTAAGAGCTACGTTCACCTCGATTTGCAAGTTTAAAACTACACTTCGTTCACAAAGCTCTAAAGTGGTTGTTCTAATGTTGCCTTGTTTCAACTTAATTCTAATATCTTTTATCTTGTTTTATAATAAATGGATGTTCCTTCATAAATACAAACCAGATTTTTTTCTTTTTGCCTCTGAGAAGTACATGTTGTAAGCTTACTACAAAGTTTGTATTTTGTTAGTGTAGTATTTTCAAATGTCTAAAGAAGCACCAGTAGTATAACCAAGATTGTTTCTTTTCAAAATCGAAATATATTTGCATTTTCAAAATGTTAAAGATTAGCAAGTATTTTTCCATTTTTAATCTTAATTGGCAGATAGAACTATTACATCAGAATTTTAAATGTAGGACTTGTTTTTCAGTATGTTAAGTAGTGAAGTATGTTGCAATACTAAAAAGCTTGTATTTATAAAATGCTTTGATCGGGTTAATGTTGCACATACTGAACTTTTAGTAGTATAGACTTGATTTATATTTCAAACAAAGCTGACATAGAAAATTTTAAAGTATGTACACATGTATGGTATGATTCATACTTATTTAAAGTGGTTTTGTTTGGGGTTTTTTTAAACTATTTTCCATTTGCATTAGCATGATGCCATCTATAGCTAGTTCCACCGTAGGGGCCTTTTAAAAATTAAAGTTACAAGCCTGTATCAATGTGTTCATCCTCATTTTCCATAATTTAAACTTGAATCTTTGGTGTTTAACATATCCTTTTGACTCTTTTTTTAAAGCAGTGTTTATGACATACTGAATGGTAAAAGTTGGGTACATGACAAGAAACCAAGGTGGTAGAAATAGTTAAAACAAAAAGCAAGCCCCACCATACTCTCTCATACCTGGACAGTTAATTCAAGGTTTTCTTTTGTCTGATTTATATTAAACATCTGTTATGACCATGAAAGAATTCGTAGGGTGGATAGACTTGGCTAGGCTGTATCTTAAACTGAGGTAGTCTCAGTGGGATTCAGACAATGATAACATGATGTAAAATTAACGAGCCGAGAAATCTTTCACTTTGGGGAAGATTATTTGTTTTGTCCCAGTACTTTGAAAGATCTCTTCTGGAACTGGAGTTGTATCTCATTTGGGTTAAACCCCCAGAAATGGGAATCCAAGCAGGGAAGCCTGGAAGCTGTTGTCCTAGGCTCTGTGTTTGTTCCCCTTTCTGAATTTGTAGCAAAGTGTTTAGGGCTATTTCAGTTCTGCTCTTAGTTGTCAGAGGGAAGTTACTTTATCAGCTATTTTATACTTTATCATACAAGTTCTTTACACATTTTATCTATATCCATCTTTTAGGCAAGATGGTTTGTGCAGTGTGCTTGTCCTTGACAGGTTATGTTGCAGCATGTTTATAGGCTGTGGCCACTGCACGTCTTTCAATACAGACTGCATTTTCCCCATTCTTAATTTCAAGGCAAATACTCCTTATCACACAAGGGAAAATGTGTCAGATGTCCTTCAGGTTTTCTCATCAACAGTGATTCATTTTTGTCCTGTCTACCTCCATTTTGTTCATGCTTTAGGTAATGAGTATTTCAGGTATTCACATCAGGCTTCTAATAGGTCCAACCTGGGAACTGAAGCACAGCTGCTCTTTGGCAGCTCTTTCAGCACAGAGTTTGGAGTAATATTAGCCTCCTGTCTGGGAGGTGGTAAACTGAGTTGCATTTTAGGGGCACTGCTAATACTCTTTCAGCTGCAGTGCTCTTCCCCCAGAAATTGCTTCCAGACGCTTCCACTTGTGTGCCATATGTTGCTACTTGCCCCAGAAATGCTGGGTACTATTGAAATGCTCTGTGCTGCTTAGTGTTTTAACTGTAAAAGGTCTCTCCCAGTCTTTCATTGCTCTTCCATAACTTGAATGTTCTGTGGAAACCTGTTTCTTCTGTCCTAACTTGCATTGCTATTTGTATTAATGTAGTTTCAGAAGTCAAGTTGTTTGTAGTTGAGCATTAAAAATAGCATGTTTTCTGTTGGTCCAGTTTGCAATGTGGGATGAGTGACCCTTAAAGTATTCAGGTTTTACAAAAAAAAAAAAGAAAAAAGAAAAGAAAAAAGAAAAAAAAAAAGAAATGCACTTTAATGTTTTGGTGTCCTCAGTGGATCACAGCATTCAGTGCCTAAGATGTTCAGGTGAAAGGCATCTTTCCTGTGGCTTCCCAGATGAATGAAGCATAGTTCTGGGTATGTCTTAGAGGACTTGATAACAACTGCAAGTCCCATATGCAAAATGAGTAGCCTGTGCCGTGTGGGGCAGAAAAGAGAGGAGACTGAAAAGTTGTGCAAGCTACTTTCTCCATAAAAGAATCATCTTACTCATGTATTCATGAGAACAGGAAAGATTCCTTGTTGGTGTTTTGCTGTTAAAGGAAATAATGTCTTCTCCTGGGCCTGCAAGGATGGATGCTTGTCCTCAGGGGGGAATGAGATTGGTCTCCTTCCACACACGACATCTGTGTTCACTTTTAATCTTGCTCTTTGGAGTAAAGACAAAACAGTGGGGCAGGTGGAGAGTTAGTTGCTCCAGGGGAAGTGAAGTTTGTCTCATTTGGCAGCAGCATTACTGTAATTGTTAGATTAAAATTAAACTTTTAAGGTCTCTTAATGCAGTTTTTTCCTGTCTCTTTTGCATAAGCCATACAAGCAAAACAGTGAACATTGCTATGCACATTCCCTGCTTGTAAGCAGCTGGCATTCACTCTGTAATATCTTCGTGTCTGTCCCACTGTTTGTTTCTTGGGTTTCCTTTGTTTGTGAAGTTTTGTTTGTTTTTCTAATGAGTCACCTTTCATTGGAGGTTTATGATATATTGAGGTGGAGATCTGTTCCTCTTCTCTCATGATACTCTAATCCTTGTTTCTATTTATTTTTCCGTATATGCAAGAAGTGGGAAGAGTTGTTTTTTGACTTTCTATACCACCACAGTAAGATAGAGTGTATTGCCAGGTGATATAAGAGAAGATTTAAAAGAAACAATGGAGAAGGTGTTTGGGTGTCCTGCTTTATGAAAGGAATGATACAACTTAATGTGGTGTCTGTCTTTTAGTAAGGGATAATCCTTGGGGTAAGCTGGCTTGTTACTGGCTGAGCCCCTTTTGTTGTAATTAAATGCAACTTGCTCCTTTTCCTGCTGTGTGTTTTCTTGTGAACAGTGCTTGAACTTGTTTGAATATGGTGGTGGCTCAGCAGGAGACATTCAGTATCTTCTGTTAAATAATACATGGAAGTCTGGGAACATGAACATGCTTGCTCAATAATTATTTTTTCACTTCAGGGATGTGTTTAAACATCTTTTTTTTGTGCCCTTCTTTAAAAATACCTTGCATTCTCACGTCTGTATCTACTAGTGGGTTTTTTAGCCATTCCTGGGTTTTCTGTGTATTTTATGTCTATTTTTATGTCTAACCAGTGCGCTGGTTAGGATGACAACAGAGAGAAGTATGCTGTGTGACTGATTTGTTGTGAAATTCAAGGGTGAGTGGAGAATCCTATCTAAGCAAGGGACAAGTGGTGCTGGGAGGAAGTCACTAAGGAACAAGGGGTGAGCACAGTTCACTAGACCTGTGTTTCTCTCTCCCAGACTGTGGGGCTGACAGGGGTGAGAGGTGCATATCAAACTGTAGCAACATGAAGTGATCTGATACACAGGATCTCACCTGAGGAGTCAGGTGTGTTTTATACTTCCTTCATTTCTACCTTGATGCCATTTTTGTTCCTAATTGTTAAGACCATGTGTTTTAAGTTAATCTCGGCTCTTCCCAGCCTACCTTTGCTTCTCTACAGAATGGTCTGGCAGTGGACTGAGATGTGAGAAATGTTAATAGTATTCACCAGGGAACTCTTGAGTTGAGAGATACTTGCTGTCATTCTTCACCTGTAAAACAAGAGTTTTCCATTTGTTTTCCTTGCCTGTTAAACTTTATGCATGCTGAGGGAGTAGCAAGGCAGTATCTTCTCTGTTGCACCATTAATACTGACACTTGTGGAGAGGAGTGATCAGATGGGCTCCCGTGATAATGTGATGTTTCTAGCATGCCAGTTGGGTTCCTTAAAACCATAGTCTGAGATAAAAATAGCCTGAAACAAGTAGCTGTTCAGGGTTTGGGATGATGAGGCCCCCAAGTTCTACTGCTAATGCAACTGATTTGATAAAGGGTGAAGGGCTTCCATTTCTAGACAGCTGCATTATCAAGTTAAAAGAGCAAAATATTTTTGTGCTGTTAAGTCTTCTAATGCATAATACTCTTTCCCTGTTAAAAATAGAAGATTTCTTTCTCCAGGAGTTGTAATTCCCACAGGATGTGGAGGAACTTAATGCAGCCAGATTACTTGTGCTGTGCTTTTGACCATGGCTCTCTAAAGGAAGTAACCTTAGTCCCTTTTCTTGTGTTGAGAAGGCTTTGTTATCTGTCCTACGCCAAGCCTTCCTGTCTTGACCTTTCCCAGCCAGCTCCCTGGGCTAAAGCCATGCATTAATTCCATGCTCTTGTGACTGTTGCAGCTGCCGATGCATGGTCTTAAGTTCTGGCATGATTTATTTAACTTTTCCTTCTCTGGTGTTCATGGAGCAGCTGCAGACTGAGTGGGTCTTCATGCAAGGGAATGAGTCCTGCAGGAATGTGCCAGGGAGCCAGCAGCTATGGCAAGATAATTAACACTCTTTTCCAAAGCATCTGGGATCCAGGAAAACAAATTAGTCCTGGCAGGGGCAGTATAGCAGTATTCAGAAGGAAACACTGAAATGGGCTTGTAGCATGGGGGGTGGCCGAGGTTGGCAGTTGCATCAGAATACAGGATGTAATTACTCAATTTCATATAGGGCATTATCTGTTTATTTTGTGGTCTCATCCTTCTTCAAACAACTAAGAAAATTAAATTGTTTATGCTCCACTCAAATTCAGCTGGGTAGTAGTTAAATAAGCCCCCAGAAGTTATTAGTTGGAGTGCTTCTCACTGAAACTCTTTCCTAATTTTTTTTGTCTTTTGGGCTGTTAACACAACAGACTTTGGATGTTTCAGGAAGCACAATTTGTATTAGTTGATGCTTTCTCTATCATCAAAGTGTAAACTTCTGGCCATTTTAAATTTAATGGCGTGGATGCAGGGATTTGCATGTTATATGGATTATGCTTCTGTTTTCTCTTCTGTTAACCACAGCACTGTAGCTGCTAAATCAGATTCAGTCAGTGGGCTTTAGATGAGCATCCTGTCAAAAGGCTTCAGAAGTGTCTAAGAAA